CACTTCTTAAACTTACGAATTTAACATGCGTTTGGCAAAATATTCATGCGAGTAAACTGCACTTTTTCGACAGGTTGCAATGCGGTTTCACATAGGTTTACTTTCTCTAAGATCTTCAGTAAGTCCCTATCCACTACCCGCGATCTTCCGCAGTTAGAACAGTTTCATCAATATTTCCTCTCAACACCGGTTGAATCAGCGACAGTACTGACAATGTGCAAAAGCACTATGGTACATATCGCCGAAGTTTCTTATAGTATTTTCAGAGTTGCTAACTATAAAAAGCGCACAAAATGGTAGATGTGCTATTTGTTCACTTCCACAATGGCTGGAGCTGCAGTTTTTCGCCATTTCACAATTCATCTCTATTGCGATGAAGGCAATTTTTAAAGTTATTGGTCTATCTACTTAAAGAAAGCCTTTTGGGGCTAAAATCATCCACTTCATCGGGTTTTTCAAACAAAGCAGTCAGTGGTCCTGTTACTACCTGCTGACCTAGAGAAATTTCTCAGAAACTTTTGTTCGAAAAAAAACGAGTTTTATATTTTTAAGAATTTCCATTCTGACAGCAAGATTTTGTTATTTTTCATATATAGATGAAAAGAAACTAATTTGTTTTTTAATAAAGAAGAAAAAATTAATAAGCTTATTTAAATTTTTTACACAACACCGAGTAAGGAGACGAAATTTAATTTTCTTTATAAATATTATTCTCAGACAATACTTTAGTGTTTTTCAAATTACGAGAATAGCGCGTTAGTGCATGCATTTTCAAATCAGATTTATTTAATTAATATATATGGATATGCCGAACAAGCACATTTTCGCACACATACACTGTATATTAGTACATACATAAAAATGAAATAAAATTTGAAAACAAGCAATTTAAAAACTACTGTATTGAAAAATTATTGAAAATTTGTTTTTACCTCATTTTTTTTTTCGTTATATACATTTACTTCAGTTTTTTTATATGCATTTACTTTAATTTTATTTTCTTATATGCATTTACTTAATTTTATTTTGTTATATGCATCTGTTAGTCTTTTTGAAAAATTTTTAGATTTTTTGAGTATGGCAAAGGAAACGTGATTTATCAGCCGAAAGCAATGAATGTCTCCATGGACGACTTTCTAAGTAAAACGTTAGTCGTTAACATGTTCATGTTACACATAGGGAAAATCACAAAATTCAACCAGTTCGTTTGTTTGGGTTCGAATATGAGTCGAAATAGCGATAATCAGATATCTTAGCCAGGAGGCCATTGATTGGGTTTGACAGATTTGGAAACCTAATAAATAGTATTTAATAAATATAATATTATTAAACGAATCGGATTTATAAAGCCAAATAAAATTATTATATCGAACACAACTAAAACTCGATATAACTTACACTGATAAACTGATGTGTAATAACACTGATAAATTAAAATACTAAACGGAATATACATTAATTCCTACATAGATAATTTTTGTAATGTATTTCGCTGGGAATGTCTGGCCGCAAAATCCTGATTATATATACCCTTATTTTAAGGTTATCACATATCTGATGGTTTGACTTTTACCTCAAAACACAAAGAATCCACAAAATTCAGTAAAATTAATAACTTTATTTCCCTGTTGAAAATTCTCTGAATCTTTTCAAATATAAAAGCACACGCGCCAAGCAGTTTGCTTTAAATAAATATATGCAGCAACGAGAAGATGCGCTTTTGACAGCAACTCGTTTCGAAAATCGAAAATTTTTCTAAATGTAAGAGATTTGTCGCTTAAATTAATTTTTCATTAAACAAAAAAAAAAAAAAAAAAAAAAAAAAAAATAGAATCGCATATTATTAAAAGAATTTTATTGATAATTCAGATTCTGAAAACAAGAACATTGTTGTTATAAAAAACAAAGAAAAAATAAACAACATATTTCATTCAACAGGGGCCCAACTTTGGCGCATGAACTTTTCAACATAAAAATATTTGAAGCATGTTATGGATAAAGAATTTATTTGATTATGGCAAAGTACTCGATGGTTATTTGCCTAAGGTGAAGGATGCCTTCGTTCGAGGACTGCCTAACGGAAATTGGCTTGCAAATACATGTTACACATATGGAAAACTAAGAATATCATCCTGGCAACCAGCCCGTTTGCCGGGATTCGAACCCCGGACAGAAACCACCAGTTGTTACCGTTAGACTCCGCTCAGTCGCTGGTGGGCTGTCCGATAACGGAAAAGTTCAAAATTTCATATTAGAGGAAAAGTGGTAGCATAGTACAATTCGAAGTTATTGCCATTTCAGTAATGCGAAGAGATTTCAAGATGTTTAATTATTTTATTTAGCTTATGACAAACTAAATAAAATAATTAAACATTCTTGAAATCGCTTCTCTTTAACATACTAGGTAGTTTGATCCTGCATTCAAACCCCCGTGAACAAGGCTGATTGCATGGGCGTTTTCATGGTTTTAACTTTTTGTAGTGCACGAGATTGTTTCCCTTAGAAAATCTGTCACGAAAGCATACCTCCCCCCTTAGACAGATCGCCTTCAACGTGCTTAATAATCTAACAAGTCACACACCCGACCAAACACAAACACAACCCAAGCGAGGACTCGTAGTCAAGGCAAACGTCATCATGAAAAGCTAACTAAAATTGGCTCATATTCACATTAAACACGGGCAGCAAAAAGTTCGCTAAAACTGGTATTCAGGCAATCCATTCGTCAGGATTTGAAACCCGCTTCAAACTATTAGTATTCAACGATTTTACCGCTACTTCGTTGGCGGCCTTTAGTAGTATCTATAAGAAAAGTAATCGCAAAGACACAATCATTGCGTACCGACGGATGAATTAAGTTCGGAATTTAAAGAATAACTTTCATCCGTGCTATTGCTGTTAGTATTGACATTTGGACAGATGTTAATTTATTTTAAATTCTTTTAATGTAATTAATTTATATCTTTAAAAAATTGATCTTCTGACTGTAATTTTTTGTGCGGAGTATATCTAACCCTTCCGTACACTAACTGTTTTAATTAATTTACACTCCATTAATTTTAAGAGATTTTATATCGATAGATTTCTTTCCAAAAATGTTTCAAGGATTACATATTTTTTTCTTTAGATTTCAAAACATTTTGGATTTAAAATCTTAATAATAAAATTTTTAAAACAAATATTTCTAGAAATTCCTTCGGCGTATTCAATTATTCCATTTAGTTGAAGTTTCGAGTAGAATATCTTCCTTTCAACATTCATATAATTTTTATATGTCAGTTCGCCATTTCTACGGAGCATAGAGCCACACATACGAGTACAAAACTCAGGCATGCTGAAAGCACAGTTTTAACATTTAAGAATGTAAAAAGAAGAATATACCATTATAATAACGCGCATTTGAAATACGAAGGCAAACAAGAAAGCTGGTTGCAACATTTTATATTTTTTCCTGACGAAATCAGAAATTGTAATCATTTTTCAATACAAAAATAAAATATTTGATTCTATAACATATAGGCATTAAAAAGGGCATCCTTCCATTACAATTCTTATTTTTTTTTGTTTCTACTAAAATTTCGGCAATGTACTATAACAAACGTCGGATCCTGTTTTGACTTTCATTTGTATAAAGTACCACAAGGCAAACAGTTGTAAACGATTTATCTTCTTTCGCAAACTATTAGTAGGCACACAGATAATACATACCTGCTGTCTGACAAAGATACTTCACTCTAAGGACTTTTTTCTAAAGTGCTCTTTTCAAAGAGACTTCACACCCTATTAAGACCTTTGTGTTACTGACAGCCCCCTGCAGAAAGGTAGGGGAAGGAAGACCAGATCGCGTCGTCTAAACACGTCTTAAGCAATCTTCGCGAAATTCGGGCTTCGTGTATACACGTCTTAAGCATTTTTCGGGCGATTTGAAATTCGTGTAAAGACGTCTTAAGCATTTTTAAAGAAATTCCAAAAACGTTTAAACACCTCTTAAGCAGTTAAAGGGTTAAATACAAATGATGAGAATTACCATCTTAACGAAGAAAAAAATAAGGAAGTTAAAATATTACACTTGATTTTGTAATGCTAACTTAGTCCAATAACCATAACATGTGCATCGGTATGTCTGAAACAATGAAAAAGTCGTGAGAAGGTTAAAAATAACGTTTGTATTTAAACAGAATTTATAACATAAAGACACTCTATTGTGCTGCAATGTAACCACAACACGTGACCATATATAAATAAATAGAACAGTGAAGTTAAAATAAAATATTGAACAATAGTTAAAGACTACAGAAATAATTACTACACTACAAGCTGGCTCGCTACTTAGTCAGAGCGTCAGAGTTAAAATGTTGACAGTGAAGAAAACGCAAAGCTGAATAGTTGCAAGTATCAGAGCTGGGAGAAAACTAACATGTAGCGTGCACGCGATGCACCACATTCTGTCCTAAATTCCCAAAACCTCAGATTAAATACTTGTGTACGAAAATGAGAAGTTTAACAAAGACTGAAATTAATTGTCATTCTTAAGAATTTAATTGTCATTCTGTCATTATTCGTAAAACTAAAATGATGTCAAATAAAAATGTGGCAAATATTTCTCTTTCCTCCTCCCATGAAATTTTGGTTTCTATGGATTTAGAAGTCTAAAAATGAAATAACGCTGTTTAGAACTTATTGCTGTATTATTTACTGAAATTTGAGTTCAGCCATTCGGCAAAATAGACCATACAAGTATTTTCGTTTTCCTTCTCCTCTTCCTCTTCTTTTTTTCGAAGTTTTATTAAGTAGAGAATACGATTTAAGTTGTTAAAATAAAAGATGCAGTTATTTCCTCGAAAGCTTATATTCCTTATCATTATCCTTAAAATAATTGTCCTTTTATATCTTTTAAAACGAAATGCCTAACTCTAGTTTTAGGACATGAAATATAGCAAGAATTATTAATATATACATTTGGATGCATGAAGATTTCTAATCAATAATTTCTTTTCTAGCTGTGGAGCCCAAGATGCACCTGCTGGCTGCTCTCTTGTTAGAGGTACAGGACATTACCCAGATTGCTGCCCCAGAGTGAGATGTGGTTCTGAAGACTCATCCGATAATTAAATCCTCTCCTAAAAGCTTCAAGCTGAGTTATAGCAATTTCTGGATAACCTAAAGAAAATGTTTATTATATAAGTCCTTGTTCTGGCATTTTTAATTTGCTTTGTTAAGCTTAGTGGTATGATACGAAAAATCGCTTATCAGTATTAAGTATTGCTTGCAAGAAGTACGCATGTGTAAAACATATGTTCTAATAAATATTTCATCTATTCATAGTGTTGTAAAGTTCAGTAAATATTTAAATCCTTTTGATTGAATTTATTTTGAGTGTTGATATGATACTGTATTGCTTTATTTATGGTTATTGGTTCAGCTTTTGCATTTACGACAAGTAGTTTTAAGTTTTATTTTGTGCCTAATTGATTTGTAGCACATGTTTTGTATACGAGTGCTTACTGTTTATTATATGGAATTGTAGATCTTAATAATGTCTTTTAATTCTAAATAAAACAAGATTTGTTTTCTAAAAATAACTAATATCAAAACACTAAGTATTGTCCGAAAACTCTCCTTACGGGCTTAGGGATATTTGGCATTTTTTTTTTTTTTTTAACTTGGTGATCTTTCGAGAGGTTATTTTTCCGTAAACGCATTTTTGAAGCTCTCGGAACGATTGTTAAGCTTCCAGAAGCCCGCGCGACACCATATAAATACGGCTCCGAGAGCAAAGACGAGTCATTTCTCAGTTCTGAGTACTTAAGAGAAACTGATACTGAAAATATTAGCTGAATTTTGTTTTAGAATTTACGATAAGGAAGATTTGCCCATTATCTTCTTTCTGCGTGAGTAATTTACAACTATTTATTTTGCTATGTTTTATAATTAATTGGAATGAATTGCCAATTTCATCTTGCTTATCAGGGGTGTTATTTAAAGATGTAACCTCGAACCAATAGTTTGAAACAAATGGCGTCAGAATTGTGGAAATATTTGAATACCGATATCCGGAAGAATAGAAGAGCTATTGAAAACTAATACAAAAATTATTGCCGCATATTTCATCGAAATGAAGTACGGAAATGAAAAACACAATCGAAACAAACGAAGAAAGAGGTAGTTGCAACTGCTGAATAAACTGCCTCTTCTTTTCCAGCATGAAGGATTTCATCGAAGCCAGCGCCGAAATGTTACAATATAAAACTGATATACTTTAAACAGTTATATATATATATTGTTGCGAAACGACAGGCGCGGCAGGATGGCTTCCCCGCAAAGCAGTTTTAGGGTTGCCATAAATGGCAAAGGAAGCAGGGTTGCCACATTTGGCGATAAATTGCATATTTGGCGATAAAATTGGCAATATACTATGGACTGTTGGAGAGCCTTCGGGAACGAATTCTTACCGGTTTAGCCCAGATTGTTCTCGAACACAAGCCGAAAGCTATATAAACCCTGCTGGTCCGCAGTCAGTTAGTGGGTGTGTGCCTCGCCTAGAGTGCGAGTGAGTGTGCCTCGTCCGGAGTGCAAGATAGTTACTATCGAGTGTGTGTCTCGTCTAGAGTCAATCCCTGCGGAGTCGATCGAGTTGACAGCCGGGTAACGAGCGCCGAGTGGGCCGTCGAGTGCACCGAAGGACTATCTTAGTGTATCGTGGTTAGTGCATCGTCGAGAGAGCGTGTTGAGCTTCGGGAACGACTGAACCGAAAAGTCGAGAGCCGTGCTCTGTGTGCCGTCGAGTGCATAGCGTGTTGTAGCGTGAAGAGTCTCGAGAGTACGTGGAGTTCCGAGAACGACCGAGCAGAGTCGAGATCTGTACTCTGGTGCTTTGCAGTGAAGCTGTCTCCACCGTAACAGCCTGATAACCTGAAGGCTGTGTCGCTGATCGTGTCAGCGTTCAGATAAACAATTATTATTTTTAATACTAATATAATAAAAAATACTATTTTATGAAACAAACCCTCAGTTTCATAATAGTGCTATACTATAATAATAATAATTATAATATTGCTATACTATAATAATAATAATTATGTCATATCGTCTTGTTATAAAATTTTAGCAACTAACAATAAGTGTTATAAATTATGCATAAAAATATATTGTAAGCAAAATATCATTTCAATTAAATAGCAAAGTTCAAAATTTACTGATATTTCTATAATTGATTACTGTTAATAAGTCTCATTTATTATATGTCAAATGATCATAATCGATTTTTAAGACTCGCGCCTCTCTAACTGTTAAAAAATTTAATCACTTAATAATTTACTAGTAATAAATAATTAATGAGTTTGAAAGATACAGTAACCATTTATTTTCATGGTGATTCATGAAAATATATAATCACCGTGTTTTTCAAAAAGATACATTATTTTACCTCTCGGAAGAATTGTAAACAGTTTTTAATTAAACTCATGACATTAATGTTTTATTTAACGAAATATATTAACTATCAATAAATAGTTTTAAATCGTTATAAGAGTACAAATAAAAATAATTTGTAAAAGTATCATAATAGTTATAAAAATTTTATAAAATTTAGAGGAAAATGCTGATTAAATCTGCAGTTTTATTTTCGGCAACATGTTGCGGCTACACACAAGTCGGCACATTAAATGTGCCTGTTCCAAAAGGCTTACATTTTTTATAATTTTGTAGCAAGCAAGCATCTGCAGACAGACAGACAGCAGTGTAACTAGGCCAAAGCGTGGAAAGCAAGTGTGTAACGTTCAGGATGAAATCTCAAGTCAGACTGAGTTAGTTTTAGTTCTCAAAGCATTTTGATTGAATAGTTAATATTGCTCTAAAATTACTATTAGCTGGTTAAGTTCCAATTACATCATCATAATTACGTAAGAATCATATGACAGAGACTTTTCTCGAAATGACGCAGGGCAAATATTATTCTCTATTTTTTAGAATAGAGAAGGGAAATTAATCTACGCTGCTAATTTAATCTTTTATATATTCTTTTTTTTTCTTACATATATACATACATTTCATTTCAGAAAATGTATAAAAAGCTTATCTTTCTTTGAATATTCCTATTTTCTGAATGTGGCTCCAAATACTCTTTCAGCTCAGCACATATTATTATGAAAATAAAGTTTGGCAGTCTGAAGTATGCAGTAAAGACATTTTCGGGAAAAGTGAATGCATGGTCATGTTTCCGATAAATTTGACGCCGATTTAAAGATCTGCGGCTATATTTTTCGTTTAAATATGAAAACATTAGCAGCAAAAGCACATACAAAGCCGTGATCAACTTCCTACCGCCATTTGCACAAACCTGATTGACGACGCGACAACTATTTTCCTCGAATTTTCTACCAGTTCCGTACTCGCAGAATATGCAATGTTGGGCAAAGCTGTTTTTCCCTAATAAACGATATCTGAGGGCTAACAAACTGAAGACAACTCTCGGGGCGCAGAATTGTCACCACCGGAAAACACCGGTTGTCCCGGTGGTGACGGTAGAATAGACATCTTGAATGATGACGCAACACTCATCTCCTCCTCGTTTTCAACTAGTTCCATGCTCGCAGAATATGTAATATAGGGTAAAGCTACTTTTCACTAATAGCGATATCCGGCGGACAACAAACTGAAGACAACTTTCGGAGCGTAAAATAGGCGTTCAAATTTGTCTACAAATCAAGTTTCCGAAAGTGGAAAATCCAGTGAAGTGAAATGCTTCTATAAATTCATCATAGCATTAGCTCATTCCTGTTGCATTGAAGAAATGTAGAACATGGTTGTATTAGAAATGTATTAGAAAATATGGTATTAATGGGAAAAAACGCTCAACTCTTGATCGATATAGGCTGTCAACTATCTTACATTTTAAAAAGAACAGCTGAAGAACATACGGGTGAACATAGGGAGATACAGGGAACATAATGGGCTGTGTTTGAGTTAGTTCCGAAACTTTGATTCGTAATCTGATTGGTGGTTCAGCCTCAAAAAGATAAAACCATTAATGTTACTCGGAACAATTAAATAGAAAGTGGAAAATCCAGTGAAGTGATTATGCTTTTATAAGATCATTACAAGCGATTATGCTTTTGTAAGATGCAGCTCTTAGATCAGACAGTTATTTATGGTTCTGTGGCGAGGCTTTCCTGCAGAATCTGAGTAGAATACAGCCCATTCAAAACATTCCAGGACTGATCACACACAGACCATATAACACAAAGAGCACATCTGATAATAAGCTTCAACATAGTCTCTTTCCAATTCAGTACATTGCTTGGAATGAGTGTAGAACTTCAAGTTGAATTTCAGCTTGAGAAAAACAAAAGTCCAAGGGCCAGATATGGTGAGTACGGGGAATGGCTGATGCACACAACATGCCTTCTCGCTGAAAACTGCTGCGCAAGGGTGGACTTATGAGACAGGCCATTGTCTTACGACAAGACCAGTTTCAATTATTCAGCAGATCGGGCCTCGCACTCGGCAATCGTTCCAAAAGCCTGTCAAACACAACTTTGTCAAATGTCCCAATTGTAATAAAAATCTTGAGAACGAAATTATCGATGAATGATACGCTGACTAAAAAAACCGATTAACATTGCTTTCGGTTTTGAATTCGAAACGCCGACTGATCAGCCGGTTCTTTTTCGGACTTGTCCTCTCAGCACTGGCGTTTTGTCTTCGGATCGTACTCAAGATACCAAGTTTCCTTTCTGGTGACAATGTTTTGCAAAAAGTTTCGGTCCTGGTTGGCAACGAAAATCAAATCCTTGCGATAAGGTTGTCATTTGTGACGCTCCAGGATTTTGCTTTGCATGCGCTGATGACGCGATGAGAAGGCCGATGAAGATGAAAAACAACGATGCGGTAGCTATGCTATTTCACCTCGTGGATAAACTTTCGGATGACGATATTGCTTTTGCTATTAGAACATATGCCGCTAAATGGCGTTATTTACTGACTAACGATTCTTATTATGTTGACAATTACGTTTAGTCATTTATCTTCTTTGAGGCTGATCAAGATTTCATCTTTTTGATTCAGCAAACAGATTTTTGGACAGTTAACATCGGACCTAGAAAAGAAATGCCACATGCTCCTGGAAAACAGACGAAAAACTTCTGAAAGAATACTATAATACATATGGGGTAGGGGCGAAATGTTTGTTGCCGTTAATCATATATTTAAAAATTTTTGTACAGTTGATGCTATACAAGATGATTTGGTAAGAAGTGGTTTTTCATTTTGAAATACCGCAGCGTATTACTTCTGATCAAGGACATGTGTTTGAAAGTCAACTCTTCTCATCTTTGAGCAACCATCCACAATTGAACGGATTCAATGAGCGACAACACAGCATTATAAAGGCAAGCTTGAAACATCATCAACAAGGCAAATCTTGGGCAGACGCTTTACCTTTGGTTATTCTCGGATTATGCTCTGCACTGAAACAGCGGAGCTTCTGTACAGAACTCCCCTCTTAGCCGGAGAATTCATCACCAGATCCCTAATGTCACACACTCAGAGTTCATGCGAAGGCTACAAAATATTATCCGCAACATGAAACCTTCTGCAACGACTACCCATGGCAATACGACAGTAATCGTTTTCAAAGACCTTTTGAATTGCTCACATGTTTACGTCTACAATAATGCGGCCACTTCATCTTCGCAACCACTTTTTCTTGGGCCTTATGTTGTCAAAAATCGAGCACCAAAGTATTTTGACATTGAAGTTAATGCAACTGTCAAAAGAATTTCAGTTGATAGACTGAAACTGTTTTACCATAAAGGACAATGATGAGCAGCCTCTTGAAACCCATAGGCACGTGGATTATCTAGATCCGCACACAATGTGCAACGTTGTGTAGCTTCCTTTATGTTTCCTCTTTATCTTACCTTTAATTTCTGTACGTTTTAATTTTCGTAAAATGGCATGAGAGAAAGACTGTTCGAAAGATAAACGTTCATTGGAATTTCGTTTTAAAGAAAGGTCGCTTGATATTTGTTCCAATCCTGTTCTCTCATCAATAAAATTGTTTAAAGAAGTTCGTTCTTTATAGTCTATCAATAACACTTTAGATTTTATGCAACGCACTTCACTATATTAAAATATACAGATGTCAATATACATTCATAATATTTTTGAGCAGACATAAAACCGTCATTTGTTACTGCAGGGCAAATTTTCCGTAAGCAGCACTTGGTCATAATGCTCCGTATATCTAAGTAAACAGAAAATATCTCTTTCCGTCCTTCAGGAAAATTCCTTGTGGGGTTTGAAACACTTGTGAGGGTTATCATGATCTGGCGCATATGCGCTCTCTTCTGATGTTAACAAATCCGAAATTTGGCTAATTGCGTTTTATGGGAACATCCCCTGACTGCAAAAGTAAAATGTAAGCCCTTGCTTTAATAATAAAATATATAAATCATTTCCGAGAAAATTTAAGCCATTGGAAGAGATAAGGGTATAAAGTGTTTCTCCCGCCTTCTTAGCATTCCTTCGTAGTGTAATGGTCAGCAGGCTCGACGCGTATTCGAGAGATCCATGGTTCTAGTCCCGGTGAAGGCGTTCCTAATTTTTCATGACTTCTGCTTTAAAAATACCTAATGGCTCTACAGTGGCGCCAGAACTAAAAAAGGTGGTGAATGATGAACTTCACCACCAGGATTTGGAGACTGGGCCCCTAATCCCCAGTCGCCCTTTAAAATGGGCAGTATATAATGTATTTCTCCTGCCTCCTTAGCATGCCTTCGTAGTGTAGTCGTCAGCACTCTCGACGTGAATTCGAAAGGTCCGTTGTTCGAGTCCCGACGAGGGCATTGCTCATTTTTCATGGCTGCTGCTTCGAAATAACCTAATGTCTGTAGAGGGAAACTGAATATAATAAAATCCTTAGACCATAAAAATTGAAAATAATTTTGTAAAGCTATTTGAAACTGAAATCATTAAACATTAGAAAAATTCAGTTTTGACTATGGCAGTAACAGACAAGATTAAAAAGGAAATACTAGTTCTATCAAAAATAGTTAACAGATTTTATACCGGAAATTTACTTATTATAATAAAATTACACAAGTTTTATACCAAATTATGTATAAAAAAGGTTGCCTCTAAAAGTTGCTTCACGTGTCTTTCACAATCGCAGTAAATGAAAAGACATGAGCTTTATGATTCTGTACATTCGAAGACAAATATTCTTTCAATTATTTTATGCGTGAATCTCCGATTATAAGAATTTTAAATCTTTTTAGAATTCTTAACCTTTAAGCATTAGAACATAATTATAATTAATATAATATTAGTTAGTATATAATACACTGTTAATCAACAGAAATAATTAAAAATGGCTAAAACAATTAAAAATCAAGTCAAAAAAGAGCACCTACAAGCAAAGCAAGCACTGGTAATCAAATGGCGGACAACGATCTGCATTTCTACTATTGGACGTCAAAATACAACTCTTAAGAAAACTTTCAATCATTATCGTCAGGTGCACTTTTCTGTACATATTTCGCGTTTGTCTGTACCGTGCAAACCCCTCCTTAACATTTTTTACTGTTCTATTCATTAGACTATTCTATTCTATAACTAGTTGACCTTCCATTGGAAAATCACCTTCTTGTCTACTGATGGTAGCCACTTGACTTAATATTTTCGTCTTATTTTGTCCGCACTGCTCATTTTGTTTTACTGATGGTCTTCACATAATGCAGAGTAAAAGGTAGTATTGCTTTCTGAAACTCATCAGTTCTTAGTTGTAAAATTTTAGCCACATTGTTTATTAACTTTATTTGGCAACACTGGTAACGATAGCAACCGGTATGTAAACTCTCTAGAGACAGATGTAATGTGCAATGTATAAAGTGAAACTTTTAGTTATTGGACCTTGTGAGGTAAAGCTATGAGTCACATAGTTTTTACATATAAATGTAAAATGAAGGTTACGTTTTAAAAAATGAATTAAAAATTGTTTCAGAAATTCTTTGCTTGTTATATGTTCATTATCTAAGGGTAATCTGGAATGCTCTGCTTTGCTTATAAGTAAGATAGTTTATTAGTACATGAATTTCTGCGTTAATTTTCGTCAATTGTAGGATATTTTTCTCGGCGTTCAAATTTTTAAACGTCAGATTTTTATGCGTACTTCAAATAAATCCTCAGATTTAATATTTTCCCTATTATTTTCAAGTTCTTATAATGATTGTTGGATTAGTATTCATGTTTTTACTCTTTTAAATCTGATTTCGGTAGAATTTGCTATTAGAAACACTGTAAAATAATCCTATTCCAAAATCAAATGAAGAATTTTGGATCTTTATACGTACGAACTAGATACTTCTAGCAAAAAATCGTATTTCCGTTGGGATATCATTTCGACTGTGGTAAAATTTTTATAGACATGAGAAATACTTAGGTTTTGGTATTCTGTTATAGGGACTGTATTCAGAAATGTATGTATGATGTGTAAATGTATGTATATGCATATATGTGTGAGTATGTGTACAAACACATACATATGTACATGCATATACATACTCATGCTTGAACACATACATTATTGCATACATGCATATATACATACATTTCTGAATCCGTTCCTAATAACAGAAGAACGCCATTTTTCAATAACTAAAGACAACTTAATAAGACATTTTAAAAACATTGATACTACTTGCTTTAAAAATAAAAATACTGTTATAAAAGAGATGAGCAGCTTGTTTAATTTAAATGTAGACAATAAGTTATGCTGGTGCTTCTGACTTTCTATAGAAAATTATTTAGTTTATGTTATCAAGAATTCCAGGTAGTTTCCGGGCCCAGCGAAGTTCCCTCCCCCCCTTAACCTTTTAACTGTCAAGTTATTTTGATGAATTGGGTGCATAAATTGTCAATTTTTTTTTATTCCAAAAATCAAATGTTTGCCTCAAAGTCAAAAAATTTTTAAAAATTGCTGCACACTTTGAACTCTATCTATTGAAACCTTCAGTCAAATGCTGCCATCTGTTGAACTGACGCCGAAATAAACTTCTCACGATATATATTCGGGTATAACAATACCATGCACTCAAAAAAAAAAAAAAATTTGCTCGAGTAATATTCGGGCGTGACATTTTGGAATACCAGTGCTGTGCCCGAGATTATTTTGGGAATGACAGTTAAAGGTTAAAGTATGGGGAAATGTTTCCTCTTGACATTATTTTAAAATGGAGGAATACCATAGAAACTTTTTACTACAATTGGCATTGCTATTTTAAAACGCTTGTTTTAAATATATAATTTATCCTCTTTTCTACAGATCTTAAACTGATTTTTGTTGTTTGACTTTTAAATTAGTTTTTATTGACTTAATTAAAGTGGATAAAGCATCCATAACACCCCGTCTTGCCTTTGAACTCCTGTCAAAATTTGGGTCGAAGGTCATGTTTATCAAGAATTCATAAAACGAATGTTGTTTCAAATTTTTTAAACATTAAAGGGAAAGAAAATATTTTTTCGTGCAAGTAAATGAATTAATGGATTAGTTATTTTGAGCAAAAAATGTATAAAAATCTGAATTTAAATTATCGCAAAACATCAAGGAAGAAACATTTTGTCAGAGATCGTTTCTTCTCAACACGTGTTCCTCAATTTCCTGTACACATGGTGGAGGGGAAATTCTCGCTGGCAGGTTCCATCATCAAATCCCTTGGCAAATTTCCCCTTCTCTTTCCAGTGGCGTAATAGCAAACTGCTTTACATTATGTCTATGGAACCTTTCCTTCTTTACATAGATGCTATTTGACCTAACACTGCGTGCAATTTCGAGGAATCCCACAATTCAAATAAAAAAATCATTAAACCAAAACAGGGGTTTAGAAAAACCTCTAACCGCGGTTAAGAGGAGTCTTACTGTATTTCTTTATTACTTGTCGATTACCCAATGGCATGTCACATATCTCACACACACACATATTGGGTCATATAAAAAGTCTCTGCATTTTTTTTTTTTTTTACCACTAGATGGTGTTGATGCTTATATATCCGGCAACACTCACCCGATTGTCTCAAATGAACATGTGCTTAAAAGGTGACATTCAGCTTCATTGTTTGTGAAAAGTTTCCTAATTCGTTGCTTGTGTAAAAAGTTATATTAATTTGAAAATGAGTGAAATATCTTAAGTAATATGTTATTTATATGATGTTTTTTTACTATAAAAAATGTAAAAAAGCTGCAAAAACATGCCAAAAAATTTGTGAAGTGTGTGAATTGAATGCTGTGAATGAACTAAGGACCCAGGAGCTGTTTGCTCATTTCTATTCCGGAAATTTGGATATCAAAGATGCACCTCGCTCTGGTCGCCAGTCACTGAAGAAGGTCAATGAAATTGTGTAACTGGTGGAGCAAGACCAACACGCAGTCTGTCAGGAAATAGCAGAAGCACTAAACATCAACCACATGACAGTTTGGAATCATTTGAAAAGAGCATGTTATAAAACGAAGCTCAGTGTTTGGGTGCCACATAAATTGCAACCTGGCAAAATCATCAATTCAGCCCTGTACTGTGCACAACTTGACATTTTGAACAAAACAATACAGAAAGAGTGACCAGAATTGGCCAAAACAAAAAGGGTATTCCATCATGACAATACGCTGCCACACACATCTTTGATGACTCGAAACAAATTGATGGAACTTCGTTGGGAAGTTTTGATGCATCCACCATATAGCCCGAACCTTGCACCATCTGACTTCCATTTTTTTCTGCCTTTGCAAAATTCTCTTGATGGTAAAAAATTGGCCAACCAAAGAGCCACTGAAAATAACTTGTCCAAATTTTTCGACGACAAATGACAGAAGTTCTACACCGATGAAATTATGAAGCTACCCAAAAATGGCAAAAGATCACAGATAATAATTGTCAATATGTACTTGATTAAAATTAATTTTCAATAAAAAATTTTCTGTTAAAAAATGTACCCCAAAAGGGTGGAGACCTTTAATATGACCCAATATATGTGATGTAGTTCTTCTAGAAGATGAAACCAATTCAATCTTCATTCATGATCAAGAAAATTTGCTGCAAACATGACAGGAGGTAAAATCACAACTGACTGGATTATTAAAATATCAGTCTTTTTTTGAACAGGAAAATTTCTTCAGAAATATATTTTTGCTTAAACTAATGCCACACTAGGGATGCTAAACTCACCTCGTAATTTCTATATACTCAGTTTACATTTTAAACAATAGTGAAGGAAGGTGAAATGAAAGGCATGCTTTATTCAAGAAAATAGCAAGAACAAAAAAGTAATGCATAGAACAGGAAAACAAAAGTAAGAGACATGGCTTACTCAAGCAACAGTAGGCAAGAAAAAGGAATGCTTTTACTAGCAGTGTTCATATTTGTAGTCGGAAAGTCTTTATGTTAATCTTGAGCAGCAATCGGGCTAAAGATTTCACAGTGTGGAGAAACTGCAGGATAAAAATGACATAACGTGACACAAAATGGTGCAAAGTGTATCGTTCAAGTGGAGCTGTGTATAATTAAAATTTATGAATTAAAAGCTCCAATTGAGTTTAATTATTTTCTTTTATATTTTGCACACACACACACACACACACACACATATATATTCATTTAGCATTTACTTCTTTTATAAAACTTATTTGATACCCTTATCATTTTATTGCAGAAAATTTATCCTTCACTTTTCAGAGTAGTATATAAGAATGAACCATATTTAAACTTTTGAAATTATTTGATTTAAAGTAATATTAATGGTAAGTATTAACTATGTTAGATTTTGGTTTTCATTGCTGCTAATTTGAATCTAAGCTTTCTTTTGATTATGTTTTAGTGTTAATAAATGAGTAATAAAATTTTCTTCTGTGACACTAGCTTTGTCTAATATTTAAAAAAAATAATTTGTCTAATATGTTTGCACATTAGGAGTTGTGATGCTAAAAAAGTTATTATTTCTTTAAACTTAGCAAGTTTAATTCTTTTGAGCAGCATGACTACTTTTTTCTGACTAGGAGATTTACTGTCACTCTGTTTATATTATCTTCTTCCTACAAATGTTTCTCTGATTTTTTATGACCTTATGATCATTCTAATGATCTAAAGTGTGTAAAACAGTAGAGTAAAAGTTTTGATGATACTGTTGCTGCATTATCGTAATCTGTATTTGCTGGAAAAAATGAATATTGTTGTTAATATTATTGTTGGTGTTGCTTGGCAAAAGACAGCACCATGGGCAAAGAGTTATGTTCATTGCTACTCTGCTAGAATATCTGGATTATATCAATGTTTTTTGGAGCCATTCCTAAGAGCAAAGATATCAATTCATTTATGATAAGCAAATTTACTGCACTATAAATGCTATGTAATAATAAAACTTCACAGTATGTCTGGAAGATTTCATGTTAGGAAGTTCAAATATGAAACTGGGTAAAAGAATAGTTTATTGTTAAATAGCTGATAGACCTACTCCCATTTATGCATTTAACTATTTTCTTTTAGTGTGGCAAAACTGTGATATCAAATTTCTTGGCTGATGCAACTGAAACTATATCAAATGATTACCACCCTACTCAAGGAGTCAGGTAAACTTTATCTTTTTTAATAATGTTGAGCACATCATTTATGCCTGTAATAAAGTGTAATACTGGGTCATCCTTAAAGTTCTGTGAGTTTTTGATGATAAATATAAATGAAGTTGTACAAAAAAATAAAATTTTATTAAATCCAATAAGCACCATTTTGTCCTATGACCTTTTTACCAATCTCTCTGATAGCTGAAAAATTCCTTTTTTTAAAAACAGTCATTAGGTTTATTTGCTAACAATTTGCTAAGGTGTTATTTCGCACTCTTCAATGAAATGGAGGGTGCAAATCCAATGAATGAAGGATGCAAATGAAATGAAGGGTGCAAATCGAGAGTGATCAGGGAATTTTGAAGTGAGCTAAGGAGATGAAAATCTGAGTGAGAATATGGGGCAGGATGTCACAAATATCTCTCTCATCCATACTCAAATAATCTGACATTCATTAAAATGGGAGGCCAAGCATTGTTATGATAGAAGAAAACCTCTCAGCAACTGGTCAGCTCCGGGTCTTTTGCTTCACTTTTAAATTTGCCATGTGGAAACATATTTTTCTGAATTTATTGTCTGATTTAACGACAACAATGCATAGTGTACAATTACTTCATAATCACACCACACGTAGTTTGGAATGTAACCTATTTCTTGATGTTACTGAAGGAAGTTCTTTAGGTTTATCCAAACACCTTTTTCTTGTAACATTTATACAGTACAAAGTCTGTAATCCGGACTCGTCAGGACTTCGGCGATTCCAGATTATTGGTTTTTCCAGATTATAGATCATCAATTTAAATAAGGTAAGGTGGCATGCAGAAATAATACAATTAAAAATATGAAACTGTAATTTATGAAATAAAGGGAAATTATTATCTAAAGGGTATCAAAATTTACAAAAAAAAAAAAAAGCTTAATATTTATTTGTTTACTTTAGTAAACATTTCTTTCAATGTAAGTTGTTTAAGTTGCTTCATTTTTTGTGTAATTCTATAAACAGACATAATTTCTTGTTCAGTTACAAAGTTTCACTGTTCAAGTCCTGTAATTGCTGTGTCAAGAATGCCGACTAACTTGTCAATCGAAAATTTTTCATTTGCAATAACGTTCTCTGTTACTTTCTTCACTATAGGAAGCGTGCATGGGTAAACACTTTACTGGCTTTACGCGTGTGCATAACGGACGCGCACATCAAACGCACATGCATAAGTTTGTGGCTTTGAGGTCCGATTATAGATCATTCCGGATAATAAACGTCTGGATTACGGACTTTGTACTGTATAATAACTACTTTTCATCTCCATTAACCAGCCATTTAAAAAGAAGGAACTTCTTTGTATTTTTTAGCAAAGAATCGCCTGCTGAAACTCAAGCAAGCATATTCTGCTCTATTATAGTATGGTTGTACTGGTACATCATGGCAGCTTACATACCTAGTCTTCTTTAAATTATCATATACTGTTTTTCTTTTTGTTTGGCAAATTAAGTCTCTCTGATAATTCCAGTACTGCATCACATGGACTTTGAATTAGAGCTCCTTTTAGTAAGTCTTGTTTATAGAGGGTGGTCATCCAGAACAGACATCATCTTCAAGGTTGAAATTTCTGTACTTTAAGTTTTCAAACCAATTTTGAACGATGTTATCAGAAAGAACACTTTTTCCATACACAGCATAAAATTTATGATCAATTAGACCACCATATTCCCCTATGTATTGAAAATGAACTCTTAAGTGAATGAAGTTCTCCTTCTTTAATACTGCAAAGAAAAAAAATATTATATCACAATACCTGGTAAAATTATTCGAGTTCAAAAGACTGTATTTAAACATCTGCTTTGATCAAAGTTCTGCCTTATTAACAGTAACAAAATAATAAAAAGGAAATGTGCTTGAATCTAAAAAGCACAGAACTCTTTGGGTGACCCAATATTAAATTGTAATAATATTAAAGGAAAATGTGAAATGTATTTTTATACTAAAGCCTAATAGTGTAGTGTTTTTAACTAGTGTAGGTATTTGTAGTTTACTAAATTTATATTTTCATACGTATTTCTGAGTGAAAGGAATAAGTTTATTGATGAATCACTTTTACTTAACAAATTTATAACTATGGTTTAAATTGGAAGAAAACATAATACATATAGTAATTTAATGAGTAACTATGTATTTTGCTGTTTCATTTGTAATATATTTGAGTTCAATTGTAGGGTTTCCCTTATTTTGCATAAGAAATTTATTTTAAGTTTGATATCTTTTCTGAACTACTCAACTTCCTCTCACATTTTCTCACCAGGATGTAAATTTAATGTTAAGTGAAGTGAGTATATAAACGGGTGAACCTCTGAATTTATTCAGAGTGTGTTTTCGCTAGCCAGCACACGTTTCGTTGCTATCTTGCTGTTACGCTAGTAAGCCTCTTGGCCATTTTGAATTATCATCATGCCTATTAAGTTTTTGCGAGTCAACCTGTTAGGTAAAATTTAACGTGCTAATCCAACACTATTTTAGTTTAGTTTTTGACTTGAATTATATTCTACATTTGAATTTCACTGCAAGTTGGCAGTTCCATTGTAAAGCATGAAGATTGTGCCTTTCTGTTAATTATTTGAATTAAATAAAAGGTTATTTTCACCCTTCTTCTGCGCCGATAATTTATTCATGCTTGTGTGAGAATTCGCCAGGTCTATTCTAGGATCTAATTTAGTTTATGTGAAATAGCAGAGACACATCTCACACAGTTTCAAAAACTAAAGTGTATTAGATGCGAGACTTAAGTTTGTCTGTTTGTTCAACTATAAATCAATTTGGGTAGTCTGAAATTCTAAATGTTTTTTTTTTTAAATATTTTTTTAAATAAAAGATTGTTATTAGAAGTGGCAGTCTAAGATAATGTTTAGATTAAATTTACATTGAAGCAGAAATATAATGAATTGGAAAAACTAACTAGTAGAATATTTTTTAGCAACCATTTCTTATAAGAAGTTGTATGTATGTTAAAACAATTAGTTCAATAAAAAATAATTTTGATTATTAGATTCATATAATATAAAAGGAAAATAGTATTTACTGAATCCTTTTTATAATAATATTAAGAATAATCCTGCATTTTAGGTGGTCAATTGTTTTCCTAATTTTTGTATTCAAAAATCATTTATGTTTAAAACATTTGTGTTTTTTCATGTGCTTTTAATTCATTGCATCCTGTCATGTATTTTAAATGCCTAGTTATTCGGTACTTCCTTATCACAGCGGGCCCCAAGATTGAATCGCTGATCAACTGAGATATCTCACCAAATTTTTGTACTGTAAAATTGTATGTCATCAATATTGTTAACATCTTCAGATCATGTATTACCAACAATGCATAAAATATGAGACCAATGTGTTGTTTATTTTAAATCAATAAATGCTTGAAATAAAATTAAATACATTAGAAGTAAAAATGTGTGCTGCAGAAAATTACAGTTGTTATAAAATATACTGAACAATTATAGAAGAAATTTAAAAAATAAAGGTACTTTCTAATAACCTGCACCCTCACTGAAAAGTTGTGAACTCGTTGCCGACTTTTGTGAGAAACATTTGTTTGGGTATCTTTATCTCTGTTTCAATGCTACATCCAGTGCTGCTTATTTTTTTACGTTCATTTAAAAAAATAAAGCATTTACATTTTCTTCAAAATCCTTCTGTAAATTGTTCTGTGTTGTTGTTCTCCCCATGTATACAGGAATCTGTTTTCACATACACACACACACCCAAAAAGAAATTAAAGAATTGCTACACTCGGTATTGCACTTCAGCTGTGATCATCCAAGAGTGGTTGAAACTTCAATGTGCACTCCAAGATATTGAAAATAAAAAGGGCAAACTCCACAGCTTCATTATGATTCTTTATAATAAAAATGAATGTACTCAATTCAAAAAGCAACACTAATCATAAAAATTAATGTTGAATCTTGAAACTGTAAATCCACTCAAACATATGCATGCTAAAGCACATACCTGGGTTGTCATATAAACATTTGTAAGAAACAAGTGTGGAATTGTAGATTGTCACGTAAATGCTTTATGGCAACATAGTGCATAGGCTCATCAGTAACTTTCCTCAGCTTTTGAGTATGTATAATCAGAACATAACAAAGTAAAGTAAAATGTACAGTAATTGAAATTGTTATTGAAATGTGTATCAAGGTCTGAGTGACTTGGCCAGCCTTATTCGGTCATAGATTTTTTTGTTTTTGTTACTTGATATATATTAACTTTTAATTTAAGATAGTTTTCTTTCTTACTTTCTTTAATAATGTAAGTGTCATCTTAATGAATGTATGTTTATGAAAATTGAGACTAAAATATGTAAATATACAAAGTTAGCTAAGAAATGTTGTTTAAATACAAGTCTTTGGAACATATCCAAAAATCTGTGCCTATCAGAGGACTATTGATATTCTATATCAAGAATTATATATTATTTAAAAATGTAAAATCTTCAGAAATTACAAAGAAATAGTTACTAATAATTAAAATGGTTAATAATAAGAAACTTTATCTCTCAGATATCTAACTTGTTTATTGTTGCTGTTGTAAGCATCATTTTTTATATTAATTTTTTAAATTAGTCTTTCATCATAATAATAAATGAGAAAGTTACCTGTTTTATCATTTTGGTGCTGTACTTACTAATGTACTATTCATTTTTACTATGATATTTTGACATGTAGCCTTTTTGTAATTTTAAAACATTTCTTTTTTTTTTTTCTTTGCTTTATCTTTAAACCATGTTACATAAAAGCTGGGATCTTTAAAAAAAGTTTTTCTTAATATCACAATGACTTCTCTCTTCACATTTTTTTGTTATTTTGTTATTTTATTAATTTTTTTAAATGTAGTTTTTGAATTATTTCAGGATTTTAGAATTTGAAAGTGATAGTTTAAATATCGGAGGTAGGATAGCAAAAGCTGAAGTTGAATTATGGGACTGTAGTGGGGATACAAAGTCAGTATTTTTTGTATTGTTATTATACTGTATTGCATGCTGATGGAAAAAAAAAAAAAAATCAGGGTGTTAAATTTGACATGATTTTCTATGATTGTAAGTTGAACTGCTGTATATTTATGCAATATTATTCACTTCTCACAAGCAATTTTGATCCTTTTTCTTTAATTTCTAATACAGATTGACAACTTAAAAACTTCTAATGTTTTCTGTACACATGACATACAGATTAATCATCATTTGTGTCTGTTATTATCACCTGTATCTTCAGTGCCAGATTTATATATAAGCTGCACAAGATATAGCTTAGGTCCCTCCTTTAAAAATCGTACTGTATCCTGTATTAAGAAAAAAATGTCTCTTATCCATCATAAAGGGCTCCGTATCTCAAATAGTTTAAGATATTGTCAAATCTAGATCCAGTCCTGTGTATCTTAGAAAGTCCCCTTCAAAAGTATTCTTTCAGAGTAATGTAGTTCACACATACCATAATAAATTATCAGCCAGTATAGTATAATTGAAATTTTTAAATATAATTTGGATTTGTATTGAAAGATTTTAGTGAAAAGAAACATTTTAGATAAATTTCAGAGTTATTTTAAAATTCTCTTGAAGATGGATTTTATAAATAAATGTCTGATTATATATACAGTTGCAATATAAATGTGCAACTATATATTATGTGCACAACAGCAGTTTATTTTTAAATATGTATCATATTTACTGACACATTTCTCCTCAGTAGTTTCCCTCTAGCTATCTCAGCATACAATTTAGAAACGTATATTATAGTTTCATTTTCCCAATGCAGAGAGAAAACAAAGTTTATTGTCTAATTTAAAAGGATTACATTTATTAAGTATAATATTTGTAAGTGAAATGTAGAATATGTATTAGTACATTTATTCCCATGTGCATTTTAGTCTGGTAACTTCTTTTTAATCTCAGAACTTATATAAATCACATAATTTATTTCTGTTGATTTTCAAGAGAAAAATTTAATAAGAAAAGGGGTACACAAGTTTACAGTTTCTAGACTAGTATTGTGACTTTGGGTATCAAAAAGAATGGGTGTTTTTTTTTTCCAAGTTTCTGATATTTAAAAATTTTAAACATTTTTAAAAATTTTATTTTAGTTTTCTATGCTCTATTGTGTTTTGTTGTGATACTTTACATTGCATAATACTGTTGATACTAGGATATTTATCACTTTTGTGGTCTAGCAAACTCCCAGTTCTCAAATCTATCTATCTATCTCCATATCTCTATATATACATTTATATAATTTTATAAAAAGAAGAGCAAATGGTCTTAGTTAAAATGTAAGTTTGCAATCGCTATCGCATGCAGGTCCTAAACATTTTTTACCTCAAAGGAAGTTGTACCCAAAGGTAGCACATGGAAAATTAAAAATGAAAAAAAAATGGACCTTTGGCCCATTTTTGGAAATTTAGTTCCTTTGGCCTTTTCAGGCTGTCCGCATTGTAATTGTCCTTATTTCAGGCTGTCTAATATGTTTTTGCGGTGGTTTTTTTTTTTTTTTTAATCTTTATGTATTTTGCATCTTTTGTTATTATTTTTTGATTCCACTTTTAAAAAATGTTTAACTGTACTTCTACTTTAGTATGCTAATTTTATGCTTGAGTTTTGTAACTTTTGATGTCCTTAAAAATACGAATGCAAGTCGGGAAAGGGTCTGGATATTTGAGAACCTTTGTAAGGTTTATAAAATTGAAATTTATTCAAAATTTATGATTGTGCTTCTCAAATGACTCAGAGGAACGAAACTTGTATTAGGAACTCATTGGTCAACTAGGTTCTGGGCTTCAAAACACTTTTCCCTTGATAAGTTCTGTTTGAAGCGTTGAACTGAGCAGATCAATATTTATTTTTTTGCTAATTTGAAATTGTAATGCTTTCCATTTTTTAATTTTTCATGTGCTACCTTTGGGTACGACTTTCTTTGAAGTAAAAAATGGTTAGTACCTGAATGCAATAGAGATTGCAAACTTACATTTTAACTAAGACCATTTGCTCTTCTTTTTAAAAAATTGCATTTTTTTCAAAACTGCTACAATTTATGCAGATTGTCTAATATTGACTTATAACTTTTGAATTAAAAAACTTTTGAGTTAATAAAGGCAAATTTATAAATACTGATGTAAAAATACTGAGATGCAGAAATGCAGATGGCGGAGATACTTGATGCTTAAAGCATTGACCCATATTGAAGAGGAACAAGTCAAGCTGGATTAAATTCCTTTTGTATTTAAATTCACATTTGTGGCCCCAGTTCACTTGGCACTGCAATTGTGCCTATTCAAGAACATCTACATTTTTTATATTATTGCGATAGGAAGCAAGCACAACGAAACGGCGACCAAGCAGCACAGAAGTTAAAGCTGAAAGTGGTGCATTTATATTATGTCAGGCTGTTAAGAGAAAAGTTTTGGTTGCGAGGGCCATGCAAGGTAGAATGATCTAGAAATGATGCAATTCAGAAAAGTTATTACAATTTTTAGAATAGAGAGGGAGAATTAAAGGGTTAGTTTAAATTATAATTTTGATTTACATATTTTTATCTTACATATTTATATACATATTTTTGGTTTGTTAACTCTAATTTGAGCTTCTATTCTTCAAAAAAGGGGGATATTTAAATACTAATTAAATAAAAATGAAAATTTAAAAACTTAAAAATATAAATTCAGATTGAAATTTGGACTGACTGACTGACTGATAACTTATAGCCAGAATACCACTGAGATCAGTAGTTTATCTGGCTCAATCAAATTTATGCCGGATGAGCACAATAACATAGAACTATCTTCACATAATGTCCGCAGTAAGGAGGAGAAAGACGGATAAAGAATAGGAAGACCAGCAACGCAAGAGCTCACTAGCAACTAACCGGCCCGGTAAAGGCGTGACTAAGTGGGAGTCATAAAATGAGTGTAGAATGTGAAGTACAATAAATGAGTAAGATACAAAATTAAGAATGCTAATAAACACATTGGGTACATTATTTACAGGTGGGCACTAGGTGGGAAAGTTCGGTCCCTGATAAGGTGCGGGTCCCTGATAAGGTGGGCCGCAAGTGGGCGCAGTTTGGCGTCCTCATTCATATTTCGTAGGTAAAGATATCAAAATTTCTCATATGGTCACAGTTCAGAGCTTTCGTGAAGAATTTCCTGTTGATCTTATTCAGGTGCTCTTCTAGAGTGTCCAGTTTTAAGTCACAGTGCAGTGTAGCATTGCTCACAAAAAAAGTGAGCATGGGTGATAAGCCTTAAGACTTTGTTTTGCATGATTTGAAGTCTTTTTATATCCTCCTTGGTAGCCGTGCACCAGGCCGGCGACGCATAAGTCATCAATGGCCTAATTGCCGTGATATAAACTAGCCTCTTTTTCCTGAGGTCTAAGCTAGAATAATTACTCAATATAGGGATGAGACTATTTACAACAGTGAAAATTTTTCTTCTGACCTCTGTTATATGATCTTTCCCCCATTTTAATCTTTCATTTAGCATTACTCCTAAATATTTCACCTTACTAACTCTAGGAATCTCTTCAGAGAATAAGAAGAGCTTGCTATTAATAGTCAACTGTGTATTTTTCCTCCTTATCAATAATAATTGCGACTTGCTGGCATTAATAGCAATTCTCCAAGTCGTACACCACTTTTCTACCACTGGTAGAAGCTCCTGTAATTTCTTGATTGCATGGTGTGCGTTTGCGGACTTTACGGCTAATGCCGTATCGTCCGCATAGCACCCAAGAAAGTAATTTCTGCCAATGTGAGCCCTAGGGAAGTCATGAACATAAAATAAATACAGGACGGGCCCTAAAATGGACCCCTGTGGGACGCCTGCATTCATGGTGCGTAAACTGGAGATGTCCTTTCCAATAGCCACAGTGAATTTCCTATTAGTGATGAAAGACATAATTAGCTGAATCAGCTCTCTATCCATAGGGAGATTTATAAGTTATAAATAAGCCCCTCATGCCAGACGCGGTCGAATGCCTTCGCCACATCTAGCATGAGTAAGGCGACATTTTGTTTCTTGTGAAGCGCATCCCCACAAAACTCGACGAGCCGAACCAGCTGCTTCGTTGTTGAAAGCTTTCTCCGGAAACCAAATTGTTCCGGAGGCAGTAATTCAATATAGTTTTTCAATCTGCTGTAGATTAATCTCTCAAAGACCTTTCCTAGTCCCGAAAGCAAGCTAATGGGCCTGTACCCATCTGGCTTAGTGTTATCCTTGCCGGGCTTAGGCAATAAAATAACTTTTGCGATTTTCCATTTTGTGGGAAAATAGCATTGACTAAGACACGCATTGATAATACTCGTGAATTTTGTCACAACATTGCAGGGCAGATTTCTAAGTGCGTGATTATTAATACCGTCTATGCCAGGGGCCTTTTTGACTTTAAGCTTCTTTGTGATTTCTTTGATCTTACTGGAGTTAGCAGTGGCCATGTACCTCTTAGCAGTGTGGGCATTAAGCCAATCCCTAACAAAGTAGCATGCCTCATTGACAAAATTAATGTCCATGGGCGTCATGTTAGGTCTGAACTGCTCTTCTAAATGGTCCGCAAGGACCGTCGATTTGTCTTTATTATTGAGAGCAACAGAGTTTTCAGTATAAATCGGCTTATTGCATGTACGCTGCCTTTTCAAGTTACGCATGAACGTCCAGAGGGTGCCATCATTCGGACTAAGATTCTGAATTTTTTCCTCCCATACATCTCTTTATGCTCATCTATTTCTTTTTAATTAATTTATTTAATTTGTTCATATCTCTTTTAACGTGAGGGCTCCATGTAAGGTGCCACGCTTTCCTCATCCTATTCCGGTCCTTAATCATCTCTCTAATTTCCTGTGGCAGAATGCCAGCGTTATTATTTCTTCTCACGTGTCTAGATGCATTTTCAATAGCATTATTGATTGAATCAGTGAGGGTATCAACTGCATCATCTATATCTTTCCGCGAGTTCAGAGTATCAAAGATGGGCGGATTCTGACTGAGAAACTTCTGGAACTTATTCCAGTCAGTCGTGCGGATCATTTCATTTTCTGCCTCTTTAGTAGTGCCTAGGTAAGCAATGACCGGTATATGGTCAGAGCTCAATTCGTGCTTTACTTCAGTATAAATAGGGATTGAAGTATTTGTCAGAAGAATATCAAGAAGGTCTGCATTTCTTGGGTTCTGTGGTCTATACGTATACTTCCTCAGTAACATGCAGGGCAACTGGGTGATTATTTATAAATTCATAGAGGATCCTTACCATTTTGGTTAGTTTTACGGCACCCCACTCGGAGTGCTTTGCGTTGAGATCACCCGTTAGGATATACTTATTATTGTCAGAGAGAAGTTTAGAAAGAACACTTTCCGTCAGTAGTTTCCTGGGCGGATTATAACATGAAAGGAAATTCAAATTACCATATTGCGGTAAGTACACTGAGACTGCGACCATCTCATGTCCGTCGTTTCTATCTTGGCTAATCAAACAGGACTGTAGCAAGTTTCGCACATAAATTGCGGCCCCACCACCACGGTGACTCAAACGATCGCACCTAAAAAACCTGGAAATTGTCTCTTTAATTTATAAAATTTCAGAAAAAACTGGTTGCTAAATTATAGATGGGTTATGTAAAGTGGCCCAAAGTATCTTCCTCTGCTAGACAAGTGTGAATGCACCCAAGCAGAATATGACTGACATCCTCATTGCCTTTACTGCAGATACACACAGCTCTTGAAGCAAGTCCAAATCACTTTTAAAATTGCTATATCCTGAGAAAAATTTGAATTAATTTAAAAATCTGTTGAAAACTGATAAACTTTTATTCTTTGAAAAAGTAAAGAGAGAAACCTTTTTGCCTATTATACTTTTGGTGAGGCAAGATATTCTTTGTTCCAGATACAGATAGCATCTTTTCTGTGAAAGAGCTTCCACTGAAAAACTAGAATACTGATGTTTAAATTAATATGAATTTTCATTGTTAGATTCATTATAGCATCAGCCCTCATATTTCTGAATTTTTCACAGTGTCCATGTACATAGGCGAAGTGAATTTTGATAATAACATTTTACAAAGTTTTAATAATAATAATTTGAATTTTGAAAACAAGTTTCTCTGGGATACGACTGTAGTAATTGCATCAAGGAAAGAGAATCAGTATGTATTAGAACATGAATTGATTTAAAACTGGTAGAAAAATTTTGAATCCACATCACAGTGAGATTTAAGTATAGTAATTCAGCCTGAAAATGGAGCAATCATTTCTCTAATTCTGTATGGTTAAAAGTCTCTTTCTAGTTTATCTCTGCAAACAACAAAAGCATAGCCATCTTTATTATTCACCTATTCTGTAAATAAAAGAAATCAAATGGTACTCTTTATGAATAGCATTGGAATAGACAGCAACTGGTATAGGGTTTCTGTTAATAGAATGTGGCAAAAAAGGAATCAAAAGCTTGTGATCAAGAACATTTGATGAGGAGTGCCTGCAAGTGCACCACTTTATTGCAGCATTACTCAGTATTTGAATAGGATGGAAAACTAGAGATGATGAAAAGAACCTGGTAACTAATAATTCTCTAGGTATGGACAATTCTTAAAAGATATCTTCTTTGAGCTTTCCTTAGTAGCCTGCAGTTTACTTTCCTTTCTTGAAAACCACCTCGAAATCCTTGATGCATATGAAATAACTCTTTGCCTATAGATCCAGTAAGAATGCCTGTTTTAATTAAGAATGTCTGTAAGCGCACTTAGGAATTTTATATAACAAGACTGAAAAGACATATTAACCATAGTAAGTATGATAAATAAATCATTTTTTTAAAACTGTATATTACAACAATTAAAAAGAGCTTTTGATTAACATTAACTTTTTTTTTTTTTTTTTTGCTAGCATTCATAATTCTTTTGTTAAATCAAGTACCATTAGCACATATCTGAATATCCTGTTCACATTCTGAACTCTTATGTTCTCCAATACAGTTGAAACTCATTAAAAAATTTCTGCACTCAGTTTCCCTATGATTGTATGACTAACATTTAAAATAATGATTTAAGGTAACAAAAATCTTCTATCTTACTCATATTCCAATTCAGTCTTAAGGGCTTCAAACGTAGTTTCTTACAAGCTGAATTCATTTCAATGACAATGTGTAAATCTTTTTAATTCACCTCTCTTTTGTTTGACTTTGCACTTCTTCTAACTCATCTAATTAATGATTCTGTTCTTTCAACACATTTTTTAATTTGGCCTCACTGACATTATCTGGGACATTTTTAAGAAGTAGCATTAGATTTCTACCTTAAGCAGAAGCTACCTTAAGTTTATTCTTCAAAGTGCTACTTTCTGATTATTGAATAATCCCCACCAGAAAGTTGCAAAATCATTGAGAACTAATTCTTTTGCCAAAAAATCTGCAAAAGATAACAGCCATTTTCAAAATGGAGGCACAATTTCATGCAAGAGCAAATCAGTCAATAAATAAAAATTAAAAAACAACGGAAAAAAAAAAAAGGAAACATCGGTAATTAACACTTACTTTTTTCAAGAAAGCCTCCTTTTTTATGTCTTTGTTCTCATATACACAGCAATCTGCTTTCACTTAAAAAAAAAAAAAAAAAAAAAAAAAAAAAAACTGAGAATTGCACAAACTTGGCTCTGCACACTTTCCACATTGTGCACTGGTCAAAACAGACATTTGCTACATGTATATCTTAGATTGCTAAATAAATACTTTTTGTCAACATTGTAGGTTGTCATATTGTTATTTTGGTGACATACTACTTTGCCTCAATACTTTATTATAATTTTTAGGGGAGGGGTCTGCAGATAAATAGAAAGTGTCTTTAGAACTTCTCAATAGCATTCAGAAGAGGAGCTTTTTAACAAGCAATTTTTTACCAACATATTTCATTTTTTGACACCATTTCGTGTTTCCTTGGAAATTTAAACATACCACAAATAAGTGGATCAAGGATTGGAAAACTGACTTGTAATACTAATGAAAATTGATGAAATAAAAAAAATTATTAGGTATTTGTTAATTTCTTCACACTTATGTATTTCTCCCCTTCACATATTTATCCCTAGCAATTTTAATGCAAAGTCCAGAAACTTTTAATTTATTTGCATGCTTTTCCATACTCCCACAATTTAGAAAGAGGATACATTAACAAAGGATAAATAGTTTTGGAATTTCTAATATATATATATACACACACACACCAAAAAATTGTCATTTGCTAATCTTCATAGTTTTATCTGTGTAATTATTCATATGTGTAGGGAAGTGGAATTTCAAACTCTCTTTTACCTAATTTTTTCTTTCAGGTTTGAAAACTGTTGGCCAGCTTTGATGAAAGATGCAAATGGTGTTATATTTGTGTACAGTGCAGATATTGCTAACATTAGAAAAGAAATGGATATGTGGTCTGTTATTTTTTTCTAAATTTATTTTTGTCTTAATAAGTTACATCTAATGGCTTAGTTTTTGGTAGTTTATGATTAGTTTGGCACAATATATTTTGATGTAATTGTTCATAATATTAGCAGAAATGTACCGTCTATCTTCAAATGTATAAAATTGCATATAGTTGTAAAAATTATTTCTGTTGATTAATAATGTTCTATCTCAAGAAAAAGAAGAGAAGCAGATTTTTGAAATTAAAAAAATGATTAATTTTATCTTTCTGCTTTCATTTTTGAGCTTGAATTATTAATTCTATTTCTTGATGTGTAGATATACTCAATTGTGGGATATATAATTTATTGATAGCTTGGAATCATGTTGAAATTCTAGTTTACTGAAAAAAACTCAGTTTGTATTTAATGCTATTCTACAAATCAGTAGATGATACTTATATTTAACAATGAAGTTGTAGGTTAAAACTGCAAAGAGTAAGGTAATTACTTAATTTTTAAAAGAGATAATATTTACTAAAAGAGAGTTTTACATTGTTTAAAAGTGTTGGATATGACTCGCATTAGTAATATATGAGTGATTTTATTTTTATTTTGTGTTAGAGAAGCAAATTTTGTTTTAATTAAGCAAGGATTTTTAAATAGGTAATATTGTTTTAATGCATGGATTTGCCAGCAAAATTTCTGTCATGCTAGAGAACTTTCCAATATTTAAAAAAAATATATGGATCTATTAATAATGCACAAAATAATAAAATTCAGAAGAAATATTTTTTAGTTTTGCTAAAGCTAGTACTGAGATGTGAAACTCTGTTTGGTTATAATGGGTGACTATAAAATAATAAAATTTCACTAGAGGCTCACATTTGATTGCACACTTCAATAAATTGAAATGAGGTTTAAGATATAAGAATGGCAAAGTTTGCTTTTCACAACTGAGTTCTGGGTTATAGTTACAGAGAACAAATTTTGAATAGCAACACTCACTTTTTCGCATCAAATATATGTAATTTACATTATAATAGTGGACTATGTTATGGTGCAGAAAACCATTGGCACCAGTTATACAAGTGGCATTCATTGATTGTAATATGTTACTTTGACATCATATAACAAAATTTACAAAAGTCAATAGTTCTTTGTGCTGTGTAACTAATACCTGTGATTTTCTGCATCATACGTGGCAGTTCCACTCAGTGGTGCCAATTATGTATTTTCACCTGGTTTCATGTAATATTTCTTTTCCCAATCTTCTTCTTAATGCTTTTTTGCTGGCATTGCTTGGTCCTAAGATACCATTCCAGTGTCATTTAGAGTGTTTCACTGTGCAATCATTTTACATTGCAAAAATGTAGATATTGCTATTAGAAATTTTTTAAATTTATTTGCTGTAAACATAAGTATGAGAGTTTGATATATTATACAAGTTTTGCATCTGAAATGCCATTTTAATTATTATTTTGTTTTCAATGGCGAGCCCAAACTGTCCACAGACATTGGCCACTATTAAGGCCAGAAACATTTGTCACTTTATTATGGGGCCACCTAATAGATGGGCCACCTTTGCCTCCTATGAGGGGGTAAACAAATACACCCATGCCTTTTCTGGGATTTGAGTGCGGGCCCCTTTGGTTTTGCAGTCGGCTGCTCTAATCACTATGCCATCTGGGTGGCTCATTTTAATTAATTGCATTGTGTATTTGGTAGACATTCATGTATAGGAAAAGTTATTTTCACTTTGTATAGTTCTCATGTTATGAATAGTCAAATTTCCTTATAATGCAACATTGCATCATTTTAGTTTGTTGGTTATATTTTTTGTAATTATGTTTAAATCAATTACAGAATATCAAAATTTCTTTTCTGAAATTTTTAATAATGACTTCAAATATATACTAGGTATGCTAATTTTGTCCAAGCTCAAGGGCTAAAGGATAGTCAGTGTATTGTGTTCTGTCATCGAAAACCAAATTTGCCAGAAACCCGTTCTTCTGAACTCTGTAAGTAAATGTTTTTTGTATATATTTACACAAATATGCATATTTATCTGAAATGATTAAGAAAATACTGAACACATAAATTATAAATATTGTAAACATTCTGTAGACAATATCAACAATTTTTAATGGAATAACTGATGTGTTAACAGAACATGTACATGAACTCTTAGGTTTACAGGTTACTGCAAACAGCCAGAAGTAGAATAAATAGTAAGAATAAAATTGTTTTCTTTAAATCTCAAAAACTATTAATTATTATTTTTCAATGTTAGTATTTTATTACAGTGTTTTCTTTTACTCTTGTTCTGAAAAAAAATTCAAAGCAAAATAATATGCAGTCAAACCTTGCTATAACAAACTCGGTGTATAATGTACACCTGGATATGTAGAATGAACATTTTGGTTCCGTCCAATTTCCCATGCTCTTAATGTTATTTTATATGGCTATAGTGAGTCTACAAATCTATGAAAACTGGATACAAGGGATTTCTTGGTTATCTTAAACTTTTTTCAGTTTTTCTTGTTTTTTCCAGAATTTTGCAAGTTTTTAAATGAAAAATTGCTAACTTGCAAAGTCATACATATTTAGAATATTAAGAATCATATTCCTTTGATGTGATGCTAGCAGAAGAACCTTTACTTTACTGTTTTTTTATATTGATTCTTTTTACATTCACCACCTCTTTCTCTGCTTTTTAAACAAAAACTATGCAAGGTAGGTGTAAAACCTAGTTTTTTGAGAAACAGGTCACACATTATACATATCTCAAGCCACCATATTGTATTCATGACCATCGAGTCAAAGAGTTTGAGTGGATTCTGTGATCTAGTTCAAATTCTTTGATTGAGCTGTCAGAGAGCTGTATTCAAGACTGATAGAAATTTTGAAATTTCCACTATTGAAAGGAAGAGAAAGTAGTGACTAGCCTGTTATTGGGATTGTAGAGGTGATTTGTCTTTCAGGGAATAGAAGTTTTTTAGCCTTATTGGTTTGTTTTATTTCAGTATTTAAAATGCTGTGAAAATTTTATTTTCTGAATGGGGGGGGATTATATTTATATCTTTTGCAAGATATTCTCTGTAAGGGCTATTGCAACTTTACTTTGTAACTCTATGCATCTTAGAGGACATGAATGCATTTTTATTGGACACTGAATAGGATAGATTAATGATGAAATTATATTCCTTTTTTATCTTTCCCAGGAGGACAAAACTTCACATATTTATAAACCTCTGTATTCTGGAAATTTTTGTTTGCATTTATTCACTTGTATGCCGAGTGGTAAACATAAATCATTCTGCATTGAAGATAAGGTGAGTGTTATTAAAAAATACAGAATGGATGTAGCTAAATAGATATCTGCTCAGAATACAATCTATCCAAATCTACAGTTGGTACTATGAAATCAAGACTTGATAATTTCTTCTCATTAAAAAAATTTGGATACAAGGGAAAAGTTTGAAAATTCTTAAAGTAAGGATGCTGAAGAAGAATTGATGAAATTGGTGATCATTCAAGGAAGCTGAACAAATGCTAATTATAAATTAGATAGAGATTTGTAACTGGATGGACAGTCTAAATCAGGACTATTATACTAAGCAATCTAGCCTATAAAATTATTATAGTGAAACTGAAAAAGAAAAAAGATATTTAGTAACCGTACAAAATAATAATTGTAATTAACCTTTAAAAGATTTTAAAATTAGGGTTAATATTAATTTCTCTTGTTAAATGTTACATTGCTAAGAAGTTTTTTTTAATCATTTATCAATCAATTTGGGCACCTTTTGTTATATGATCCATTCCTTGTTTAAAAGATCTGATAGAGCAAACCAAACTTTTGGTCCTTGAAGTTCATTATAATGTGGTTCCATTGTATGTAAAATATATTACTGCACTTGTGAAACTGTCATGTTTTTTCACCGTAATTTTTTAAGAAGAACTAAGTATTTATACCTTCTATGTAAAATGAAAGATTTAAAATTTAAATAAATTTTATGATACAACAGTCAAATTATTTGCCAGTTGAAGGGTTAAAAACATTGTAACCATTTCTAGCTCTAATGAGTATCTTTTCCATTTTCGCATTATGCAGAAATTGAGTGAGATGTTCATTTTAAGCTATATTCAAAACTTTTTTCCCTCCCCTCTGAAGTCAAAAGGCAGAACAGATTTTTTTTTTAAAGCAATGTTTTATATCATCAAAGTTGCATCCATTTCACTGGTTTTAAAACTTAATCATGCTGAGAACATTCTACAGTAACAAGGTCTGGTACTCATTAGATTTCTTAAGAATTATTTAATATATTTATATTGTATAAAAGAAAGTATTTAATACATGATGTATATGTTTACATATTAGTTTTTTCTATCAAAGGAAGTATCTGAAAAGTTTATTTCATCTAGCCAGCCTTTTTTCAAGAATTACATGGATACAAACAAATATTGAAGAAAATGGAAATGCATTAAGGAGAGAATTTAATAGTTTTCTTCAGCGTCTATTGAGCAATATTAGTGAAAGAAGAGATCAAGAAGAACTGAGCATTCTTAATCAGCACTGAACTTTTTTAAATGCATTCACTAAACCTATGAACGTATTAAAATTTTTAGCACTTAATAATGTATATTCTGATTTTTTTTCATAATATAATGTAAATTATTTCATCAAATGTGCCTCCAAACCATTTATAATATTCTTAGTTTGTCATTATTATTAAAAGATAAATTTCACTTATAATCATGCAAAAAACTGCATTATATACAATTTTATAAGTTCACATTATAAACAAAAAATAAATATTTTTAGTACTCTGGTGGACAATTAAAAACTTGAATCATTACAAACACACACACACACATATATATATTTATTGACATATACCATTTTGGTTTAGTGTAAGATATAATATTTTTTATTGTATTTATACAATTTTTTATATGCTATATCACTGGCATAGTTGTATGGAAAACCAATATGCCAATGGGTCCGAATTCAAATCCTAGAGAAGGCATGGATGTCCATAAATGCATAGTGCAATGTTTTATAATTCCTTATGCTTCCAAAAAAAATGGGTGCTCAATAGAAGTTAAAAATGTTCTTTACGAAGTAATCACAAACTTTTATGTATTTTGTACACTGATCTCTTTTCCCAGTCTAATTTCGTATTTCTAGTATAACTTGTTTCCTATCTGATTTCATAGCACTCACATAAAGATATTTAATTTCTACCCAAAGTGTTTTATTTGTTTGTTATTTTTACCCCAAATTCTTTGTTTTATTTGTTGAGCAGATCAAGATCATTATTTTCATGCTATGCTGTTATGTTACTTTATTTATTATACATCAAATTATTATTAATTTATTATATGTAAAATTCTTATTTTTACTATTACATACACACTTTTGAAAAGTTAAAAAATAATTAAAATCTTATGTAGAAATGTATGAATATATTAATTTTACATTCTGTTTTACAGAAAAACACTGATACTAAAAGTTCATTTTTTCCATAAACTTGGAAATGTAATTTATGATGCCATTTAGAAGTAATAATGCCTTGACCTGAAAATTTTGTAAAAGAAAATGCTTTTTTTAGGTTTTTACAGTTTATTTTAAAAATTTTATTATTATTATTATTTTTAAAGAATAATTTACAAATTTTCTACGTGTCACAGTTTATAGAGAAATAGGGAAATGTGTCATAACTTTCAAAACAAAATTCATTCTTTATTATATGTGCTGTAAGGTAGCATTAGAATTTCATATAAATATTATTCTGGATTATAGTAGTTTGCATAATTAAATAGTAAATATTATACACAGATGTTTACAGGTTTTTATTTTGTATTCTAAATGTGAATAAAGAATTTCATAAAGCTTCTGTGGGAATAACATGATGAAATTATTTATGTTATGAAACTTCAAAAGAAACCATTGGCAGGTTTGAAGCATACCATAGGTAGTCAAAGATGATATGATGACTGAACATGAATCTCTTAGAATGAGAAAATATCCTATCATTTTCTGAATACTAAGTTTATATATCGCTTTCAGCCAAGGAATAACTTGATAACTGCATTGAAACCTGTATCTGCAGTTACCGAAATGATGAAGAAAGTTGTGCATCTCAAATGAAGCGAACCTTTCTCTTACAGCAGTAAATTGTAACAGCTTTTTATAATGCATATGAGGGCTTTATGAAGGAGGTCTTTACATAATAGTAATTTGTTTACATCTTATTTTAGCATCTCAGTTGAATCAAAAATGCTAGTAAATGAATTGGTCCAGTGTCCAACAAAAAAGTCCCGGCTTCCCAAATGAATCTCACTATAAGTTGCTTTCAGAATGATTTTGGATGGCTTCTGTGATAAGAAGGATTATGTGTGTGATACCATCCTCATAGTATACCACTGCTATGATGGATTTTACCTTGTTATCACTTTCAGCATTAAATAGCCTCTAAATGCTGACAAGTAAAATCTCAGTGATTAGCATTTATAAGAATATTTAAAATTAGGCAAATTCAAACTTTAGTTGGTATTAGTTGTGCAAAACTAAATTAATAAATAAGTATTATGCATTTTAAAAAATACATATTGCAAAATATTTTTTGCACTCTGTATAAGTGAAAACTGTGGCAAGCTTCCTTAAAGCGCATAGTTTTTCTACAAAACTATACCTGTCAAAGGCTGAATGTTTCCTACATTTAAACTTTAGATTTGGTGAAGACAATATCCCAAAGTCTCATGCAAGTATGTTAGATGAAGCATTCACATTATAAGTTCATAAAACTCATTTGTTTGTTTAATAAATTATAGCAAAGCATACAATGAGATTTATTCACACCACTTCCGCTAACAGAATAGTGTCTTCAAGAAGAGATCTATGTGCTTATGGACTACCTAAACTTCTGTCTAAATCCAATTCAGCATGTGTGAAATGCTCTGTGATATACCATTGCTATTAATTTCATGGTTAGAAGGGAGTTATAACTTCTTTAAAAGAACAATGGGTATAACCCTCTACAGAACTAACTGACTGCATCAAATATATCATGCTACACTTCATTAGGACATTATAAAGAATGACCCCACTTCGTACTGAAGCATTTTGCCCATCACATTCTAATACCTTACTTTTGATCTTTTTCCCTCTGATGAAAGAAAACATATAGCTTCTATGCCACTCTGAAAGTAATAGTATATTTCAAAATTTCCCTAAAATCCTTCACGTAATTTTTATCATAATTTAACCTTTTATAATTTTCTTCTTAATTTCTAGAAACCAATACATTAGAGATACATTTTCTTCAAAAGAAAATTAACTTTTTTAAAAAATATTATTATATATTATTTCATGTCTTAAAGCACTTACCTAGATAATGAACAAATTTTAAAATATTTCTATTTAATATATGTAGCATAAAAACTCATGTAACTTGAATAGTTTTGCAGCTAAGAACATGGAACTTTCTAAAGATAATTATTTTGTCATGCCTGATTTGACTACCCTATGCAGAATTGCTTTTTTTCTGCAAAAGAATAAATAAATAAGAACATAGGAAGTGTGATATAAAGTGGGGTATGGAAAATTTAGTATTACAACATTTTACATACATAAAAAATAATTAATAAGGTGTGTGGTTATTTTCCATGCTGTGTATTAGATTATCCTAGAATTTTCTGTGGGAGAAAAAATATGTATTCATGATGAATAAGCCCTTGAAGCTCCTGAAGAGATAAATAGGAGCTGTAGTGATGCAAGCTTGACATTCTTGTGAATAGCACTTATGTTATAGTGGATTTAAATCTGGAGGATGTGCAAGCCACTTCATCCACTAAAGATTCCTTCACACTTGAGGTAATTGATCATTAGTGCAGCATTAAGGGGACGAACATAATCAACTATCAGGAAGAACCTTTTTTCAATTGCCCCTCTAAACAGTTTGACCTAAGAATAAACAACTTCATACATGTTTAATTCAGCACTCATATTTTTACTGGTAAAAATGTATATATCAAAGACACCATCCAAAATCATGTTCACTTGTACTATGATAATATCACCTTTGTTCCAGTGTCTGTCATAAGTATTGCATGTATTTTGCTTTCTCCAGATTGTAACATGTCTGGATTCATTTTGCAAACAAAAACTAGATACATTAGTTAAGAGAACTCGGCTTCTGTCTGTGGTACTTCAATCGTAGCAATCTTTGCATCACTGCAACAGGGTGCATTTCGTACACCAGAGCGAGTGAAACACAAATCATGGGTTTCTTTGCATATAGTCCTGTTTTTTGCAGCCACTCATTCACGATATATCTGGACGGATCTATAGCTGCAGTAAACTCCCTTGCAATCTAGATGCATCAAATATACGAGGGCAGATCAAAAACTAAGTTGCACTAGCTTGCTACAAGAGTCATAATCTTGAGCAATGCGAAGAAGGGACATTAACTGCTCAGACATCTGATAGGAAGGTTGGTGCGGTTTCACGTCTTGTGTATGGATAGTGGGCTAAAATCAGTGGTTCCTTAAGTGGATGTCCACTCCAAATCGGAGGTGCGTGCAACAATCAGATTCCTGTGAGCCAAACAGATGAATTGCATGGACATTCATCAGCAAATTACTGCTGCACATGGAGAGCGCACAGTTTCTTAGCAAAGTATTGCAAAGTGGTGTCAAAAATTTGAAGCCGGACGCACGGATATCGCGGATGAATATTGCGAAGGGAGGCTCGCAACGTCCAGTAACTTTGCAAATGTTGACCGTGGGGAAGCAATCATTAGAGGGAATCGGCGCATAAAACTGCGGAAATTTTCCAGCATGCTGAACATTTTGTATGGCAGTGTGTTCTCCATTGTTCACGAGAACCTTGGATTTCGTAAAATGTGTCAAAAATGGGTCCCACTTCTTCTCACCGATGATCACAAGGGACAACATTTCGAATCCCCACTGGCATTTTTGAACGGTATTCTACAGAGAGCAACGAGTTTCTAAGGCAAATCATCACAGGGAAGGAAACGTGGGTCCACCACTTTACCCCCGAAACGAAGAGAACATCGATGGAATGGGTGCACACCTCATCACCACAACGAAAGAAGGCCAAGGTCTAACACTCAGCAAGAAAGGTGATGGAGACAATGTTCTTTGACATGGCGGGGTTTGATGCATGTGGAATTTATGCCAAAAGGAACGACAATCAACTAGGCTACATATTATGCAACGTTGAACCGGTTGTGTAAAGCAATTAAAGAGAAGCGACAGTGTGATTTTGTCGCACGATAACGCAACACCTCCCAAGGCCCACTAAACGTGCAACCTGCTGCAGCGATTCAAGTGGGAGGTATGACAACATCCTCCATACAGTCCCGATTTAGCCCCACGTGACTTGTCATGTTTTGGTAAGCTTAAAAAGGATATTGGTGGACAATGATTCCGAAATGATGAGGAGGTGAAAAAAGCTGTCTCCGTGTGGTTACATAACAGTGGAGGAGATTTCTATGCATTGGGAATTGAAAAGTTGGTTGTCCATTCGGAGAAATGTTTAGAGTCTCTTGGGAACTATGTGGAAAAGTGAACTTACATTGTATGCTGTCTTAGCCGTGTTGCTTTAGTATTGGCAATTTAATTAATGGTCATAACTTGGAAGTGCAACTTACTTTTTGATCTGCCTTCGTATCAATTGTATATTTGTTTTAGCAACTGCTTCCAAATAACGGCCCTGACAGTCTGTTGAGGCATGTTTACAACCTTGATTTGGTTGCCTGCAAACATTGCCAGTGTCTTTAAACTGTTTTCAGATTCTTTACATGATACTTTGGCTACTTTTGAGGTCTTTACAGACTTATATTAATGTCAGTCTTTCTGCCATTCTCACAATCTGTTAAATGCCTTCTCAACGATGTGTTCAACTTTCCGCATAGAAAAGCTTTATGCAGCTACTTGTGCAATCCTTGAAATCAAGAATTTGAAGCATCTGCTTGCATTTCTCTCCACACATGCTGAAAGCACGGGCATGAAAATTTATATATTTCTGTGTTGTGAGGGTGAATCTCCTCAGATTTTCTGATAACATTGACCTCGAGTTGCCAGTCAGTTGAATTAACATAAAGCGCAGTTTCGGTAATTGTTAATTTAATTTTTTCTGCCAATATAGAATTTTCAACATAATTTTAATAAATTTATTTTTTAAAATCAACTACATTTAGTCTTATTTAGTGCACCTATTTTAATTGTGATATATTCATATTAAGAAAAAGACTACAAATTTATAAACTGATCATAATAAAATATCAAATGATGTTTCTGAAATACATTATTATGTTAAAAATGTATATCATTTTAATCTAAAACACCACTGTTGCTCACATGAAAGAGAAGAATAACAAACTGAATGCATCAAATCTATCAGTACCAGGTTTGATAAAAGTTACTGCTTATTAATTCAGTAAATTTCAAGAACATTTTGACTATTTGCATTTTGTATTCACAACTATTAGAGAAAATAAAGAAAATTTAATTTAATTTTCTCTAGTTTTAAATTTGCATTTATTATTTATCAAAAATTGCTTAAATTATTTTCTATTAAATTTTGCAGTAAAATAGAGCTTTGTCTTATATTTCTTCAAAATGGCATTACCATGGCTATTAAAGGAATTCTTAAAATATTTGAAAAATTAAGTATACTACCAGTGAATGCAATGAAATTATCCACGAGTTACGTCTGTTAAATTTTCTTCAAATTATAAAAATTCTTATTGATAATAAAATTCTTGAAATTATAAAAAGAAGATTAAGATAATGGTAATGAATAAAAGTAACCTTAAATAGATGCACAGTGAAACCTTCCTAAGATGATCACCCACACCTTCAGATAATTTTGATTTTTTATCAGGAGTGATTACTTTAGAGAATATGATTATCAGTAATATTCAGTACTAATGCTTGATAATGTTCTCAGAACATGCTGGCCACTTTCAGAAGTGATTATGTACAAAAGTTGGTAATCTTGAGACATTTCACTGTATATCAAAGCTATCCAAGGTTTTGAGCAAAAATATCTTGCAGGAGAGTTATTTAATATATAAAATAATATTATAGTCTTAAGCATTTTAAGGGGGAAAATGCTTTTTTTTTTTTTTTTTTTTTTTTTTTTTTTATCACGTTTTCTAAAAAATTATGTCTTTTTTCTTTTTAATTGAAATTAATACTAATATAAAGCTAATTTTTGAAGTTTATTTATCATATATCTATATATATGTGCTTCTATAACTATCAAACTTTTATATCTATATACATTCATTATAAGCTATATCATTATAAAATAACAAAACTTTTACTACTTAATAAAAAAATCTCCCTTTCAATTTAAAAAAAAAACTAAATAAAGCATTTATAGAATATTAGCTCTGATCATTTGTATTACTCAGCCTTGAAAAGATATGTATGTATTAAAAATTAATGGTTAACATCTATTTTAATGTACATATAAATTTTATCATTTCCTTCGCAAATATTTCAATCCTAGATAGAGATATTTAGAATTTTTTATTCGAGTTTTCAAATTTCATATTATAATTTCCAAAGTTTCTATAACATTTCCTATTTCCTTTCTCAGTGTTCTTCCATGTTTGAAATCATTTGAGAATATTTTTTTTTTTTTCTAGGAAACAGATTCAAACTTCTTGGAAAGTAATGATTTACTACTTTAAAAAGTAGTAAATAATTAATGCAATTTTTCATCTTTTGATAAAGACAGGAGGATGAGATCTGAAAAAAATCTTTCAGATTTTATATTACACCCAAATAAGCGTTTTTTTAAAACATTTTATGCATTACCTTTATTTGTTAAATGTCATGTTCTTCGCACTTAAACCTCATCAAATTCAATTCAACAGCAATATCACAAAATATTTAAAAACAGCATCTCTTTAGAATTTCTAAAGACAGTCTTACACACTGGAGATAAAAATGTTTTTTTCCTTACAGTGTTGCCGTTGCTCGATTTGAAATCATGGAGCTTGTTAAACAAAAATTTAGCAAAATTTTACAAAATATGAAACTAATAAAACAAACTCGAGCTTCCAGGTGCCTGTTTTCGCATGGAGGATTACGTTATTGAAAATTTGATGGCCATAGGTACCGTCGTTTTTTCATATTACGAGAAAAACTCATACATTCATGCAGATTTTTCATTATTTAATTTATTAAAATATAATACAGGACAATAATATTTGGTGGAAACAATTTAAACAGTGATACACCATTAATAGTGCACTGACACAAAATGCCGTTTCGAGACTAATAGCCCTTTTGGGCTAATAGGTAAAGAAAAATCCTTCATTCATAAATAAGTTTATTTTTTAATTCATAAAAGATAAATTGATTAATAACTTGATAAAAGAACATTCTATTCATGTAGATTATTTGTGTTACCTATCATCTGTACTGTCTTGTGATAGACTGTCTGTTGATTTTCTGATTCCAGTCATTTTACTGACATCTGAATTAGGATTTAGTTCCAACCAAGGAATTGTTTTTTGTTTCATATTCAGCAGATCTGTCAGTGCATTTGTACAAATACCTGAACCATTTTGACCCGGGCATGCTTTCTTCAAGGTATCAAAAACTGTTGGACATTCTGAAAGTAGCATATTTTGAACACTTTCTTTTCCAGTTTGGAAGCTGTTTTTCTCCAGAATTTGATACAGGTACAGCAGAAGACTTTGAAGTGATAGAACTTGCAGCTTCAACTTTCGATTCTGAATTTTCAGATCATCACAATCGTGTTGTAGCCTAAGCAGGAAATAAAACATCTTATTTAAGATTAAACTGCATAAAATGTAAAATACTCATGTGTTACAAATATATATCGAAATAATACTTTTTTTTTAATTTATAAAAAAGGTTGAAATGAATTGCAGTTACATAAAAGAACACTGCACTGACATAGATTACTTACATTGCTAATCGTCTACCTTAGTTATTGCCTTTAAGCTTCCTCAGATTACACTGAATGAGAAAGTGTTGTCTCAGGGTCCAAACGTGAAATGTTATGATGTTGTTGTAAAGTTCTGTAAATATTTCAGTGTAGTTAATAGTATTGTTTTATTTATTTATTTCATTTTAAAATTTAGTATAATAATTTTAGGGTGTACTTTTCTATGATAGGATTGTAGATTTTGTGTTTCTAAATCTAACAGTGTTTAAACTGAAAAAAGAGCCCCCACTAAAACCCGAGGATACAGGCAGAAACCCACCTAACGAGCCTTGACAAAAATTTTTTGGGCCCACCAGCGGCCGAGCGGTAAAGTCGCTGAACACTGGTAGTTCGGTCCGATATTCGAATCCCGCGAACGGGCTGATTGCATGGACATTTTCATGGTTTTTCCCATGTGGGACGTGCACACGAGCCATCCCTTAGAAAGTCATCCACGAAAGCATACCTACCCTTAGGTAGCCATCGAGGCTTTGCCGTAATCACACAAACCAAAACAAAACCTTCTGTCGCCGTATTGTTAAAGTTTGCCGACTTTTCGCCACCTTGGCGAACAATTTTCTGAAACTCTAAGCAGACACTTGATCTTTGTTCTCACACAGAATTTACAATTCCATATACTAGTAAGACGGCTTTTTAACATTGACAATTGATGAATAGTCTGAATAATAAAATTTTAAAGAAAATTTAAAGTTTTTTCACATGAGCAAAAATGAATACTTTTTCTCCCATATACTCAAGAATTCTATTACATTAAATTTCACAAATATAATGTTTGAGCTTTTCGATGCTATTCAGGAAAAAATTAACACTAAAGGATTTTATATGAACGCTGATGTATATTTTTGCAATAGACAAACATGCAGAATTTTAGGAAATATTTTCAGATTTTTTATTTTGACTGCAGTATCGGTAAATAAAGAAAACTTTGTACTGAGTATTTGTGATATACAAAAGTGGGCTGAAATTGATTATTTTAGCACTGGACTAAGAATCAAATTACATAAATTAACTAATGAATTAAAATAATCAAAATTACTAAAAACTACGTGTATAAATTATCTTGATAATAAGTTATTGATGTTATATGAGTAAAATGTAGTTAGGACCTACCAAATTAGTAAAATGGAATTCAAATTCCATGTGAATTGGATTAAATTACAATTATTTATTTGTAAATACATCAGTATGAGAGAAAATTGATTTATTGCAGTAGCATACTGCATCAAGGTCAATTTTTTTTGTTTCGAATTTTCTCATTTAAATTGATAGTGTTGTTGAAGCTGAAACATATAATAAATTTAGTAAATCAATTAACAAAACTGGCTGGTATAAGAAGGCAGAATGCTTCAGAATGGCTTCAGAATGCAGTGTAAAAAAAAAGGGGGGGACTCACGGAAAATAACTGAAAATTCAATGACCTTTAATGTGTGTGAAGAGATAATATTTTGAGTGTCTCAGATATTATCGATAAGAAAATTTCTCCGAAAATCCAGTCACAAATAAATTCAGTGGAAACTGAGCATTTTTGAGACATATTGGAAAACAAATTGTAACGCTGTAGTGGGGAAAATCTATTAAAGCATTAAATGAAGGCACTCATCCAAATGTTTCGGAATAAATACACTGCACAAAACAATTAAAGGATATTGTGAGTTCGCTATGGAATAATCATATAATCGACAACCTTTTTAACAAAAAGTGAATAGAAAATTTTAAAAAGGAAAATTGAAACGTTTACAAAGTTGGCAATATGCAAATTTTGTCTGTAACGTTACAAACTATGTTTCGTAACAGTGAATACGATGCTTTAGCAAAATGACTTAGCTGAATTGGTAGCCTGGAAGGCCGTCGGTTATTTAGAGGAGGATCAAACGCAATCCATTGTAGCAGAAGCGTTAGGAGTTACTTAAAATGTAATTTCCGGACTGTGGAATCGGTTTTCCGACACTAGAAATGTTCGCCGCATATCGATCGCCGTTGATATTGTCGTACGCCTGCAATAATACAAAATGAAGATCAGTATTTAACACTAGCGGCCAAAAAACACCGCACTATTAACACCACTTTCTTGCAACAGCACATTCAGAGAGCTACTGGTATCTAAAGTTTCGACTCGGACTGTTCGAAATCAACTCCACCATGCGGTTTGTATGCTCGCAGATCTATGGTTTGCATGCTCGCAGTTCTTATGGTTTGTGTTTCGTTGACATAGGCCCACCGTGCTGCTGTCAGGAAGGTGGGGACTCTCAGATGGAGACGATTTGAGTGAAGTAACGTGCTCTTCACAGACGAGTCCGGCTTTAGTGTACAACTTGACAATGGGCGGATTCATATCTGGAAAGAAACCTGGTACACGGAATACTCCATTTGTACATGCAAGTGTCCGATTTGACGGAGGTGGAGGGATGGTCTGGGTCAGTATTTCTATCAATGGCTGCACCAATTTACACATTAACAAGAATGGAGCCCTATCCGCTGGCGATACAGGAATGAGATCTTCAGACCTATTGAGGTCCTCTACACTGCAGCAATCGGGGATGAATTCATGCTCATGGATGATAACGTCATCCCACAACGTGCTGAGCTAGCGAACAGTTTTCTTCTCGACGAAAAAGTCCTTCGAATGAATTGGCCAGTATGTTTTCCAGATATGAATCCAATAAAATATATTTGGGACATTCCAGGGAGAAGGGTTGCTAATCGCTTATCACCCTTAGAAACAATTCAACAGTTGAAAACAGCAATTGTGCTTTCTCGCTGTTGAAGATTAGTACCATCACCTTTGTCAGCTGGTACCAGTGAGTATATTTTTGCAACCAGATTCAAGTTTCATATTGCGATTCCATAATTATCCACTTGGTTATTGATCATAATAGTGCGAGATGTCATCTTTCACAATGGATAGATGACGCAGGCACAACAGAAGAAGTAAAAGATATGTACGCGTTCTCCAGATATAAGAACCTTCTTTTTTATTTATCTTTATTGTGACAGTTTTTCCTGTAAATATGTGTTGCCCATTTTCGTAGTGTATAAAAATTGTGGATATCTCCATTAAATGTTCAAGTTAAAAAAAATACTATATCAATTAATATAGTTTACGCATCCCCTAGATATTAAATTCTTCAGCCATTTATAAAGAAAGTTTACAAGAAGTAAGAATAATAAGTATCTCGACTATAATATTGGCATTAACTTTCATTAATCAGTCTGAATTTTGGAACAGGAATGCTAATCCTTATTGCTGATAATGACTGAGATGTTGCAAGAAAATCCGTTTATACAGAGATATTCTGTTTATACACAGTTATTCTATTAAATGCATTGCTATCTATTGAATATATACCTTTAATATCTTAAGCAGAATGAGAACTACGACTTGCAGCTGACATCGACATTTGATGTGAGCTCAAAAACGGTGGAAATGCTGTTTTCTTTTCAGCAGCCTCTCTGTTATCATTATGTGATAATAACCATATGCCCGATCCAACTAGGGTGATTCTCTATGCTTTTACCAACGTCAAGGCTCTGTATACTATTTAAACACTGTGCTATCTTTTAGACAAGCTCTTACCTATAAACTCTTTTGCATGTGCCAAATAATTAAACTGATGCCTGGTTACTTTACAAAGGACTGAATCGTGGTCTGCTGAGCACATCTGGATGTCTTCATGATGTACTCTGTTGAAATGTGGTCTACTTTGCCCAGCGAAGCATCGCTTCAAATGATTTCGTGGCATGATTTTTCTATTGGTCTTAGTACATACATTGTTCCCTTCTGTTGTCATTCAAGTATGCCTTTAACAGTCTATAAATCAAATACCTGAGCTATCGCACAGTTTGTGTTTCATTTGAACAATCCTTATATTAGAACTTCAAGGTTGAAGGAAACTACTGCATCTTTTTACATTAATTTTTTTTTATGTATTTAGTTTCACAATTTCTAATTAAAAGGACACAATTGAAAACCTTAAGACTGCTTTCTTTTTTTATGTACTTTTAAACACCGCTTACTTTAAGCAAATAGATTACGCGAATTTAATTTAGAAATGAAATAGCGAAAATCATACTACACTGGCTTCCAGAAGTTAAACACGTGGCAGTAAAATCAACAAAAATGAGAAAGTAAAGCTTTGATTAACACGAAATTACTCTTAAAGGTGACAAATGTAGTTATGCCTGAAAGAAAACAAGCATATGTACAAAGATGAAAACAACATTTACTTTTCAAAAATAATATGACCACATCACATTTGAATCATTAAAAGATAAATGCTAAAAATAAATAGACAAAATACAATATTACAATAATATATGTGATTACCCCTAACCTTCTTACAAACTTTACAGCGACTATCCATGGTTTAAGTGAGGTAATCAACCATCACAGATGCTAGCATTGACCATTTCTTCATTACAGCAGTTTCCAGCTGCCTTGCTAGAAGAGGTAAATGTGCAGAGACAGGACGCCCGGGGGCATCCCAAATATTTTTAATAGAATGAAGGTCGGGGAAGGGGAATACGGCAACACTTCATATCAGAAATGTCCTCCAGTACACGTTAATGACGTTGGCTTGATGGGGAGGGCATTTTCATCCATAAGGAGGAAATCAGGACTAACTGCTGCAGCATAGAATCTTACAATGGGGTGTAGGACTTATCCCGAAAACGTGTAGACATTAAGAACCTTCTTTAAAAATATGCAGTTGAATGGGATTTTCCATTGACATTTCAGTCCACACCATGATACTGCCACCTGTGAATGCGTGTTCTGGGATTCATTTCATGAGCCTCGGTCTCTCCAGACCCTTACACAGTTATTATCTGGTTCTAGGGCACGTCTCGAACAGGACTTGATATATATATGAACAATATGAGATAATCCAGTTGAGACGTTGACGACACTACTTTCATCTTGCCCTTTTGGACTGGGCGGCTAGTAGAACACACACACTCGGTACTGCGACGTACAGTTCCTTCACGTGAAGCCTTCGACGAGCAGCACTGCCAGATATTGCTTTACCAAGTAACATTGCAACTATGGATATAACAGTTGTGGATGTCTCTCGTCGATTTTGCTCAGCTACTATAGCATTATACGGATTTTCAGGAGGGATGTGACCCTTGGTCGATAGGGCACAAGTCTCCAGACAGCCGTTTGACTTGTTTAGAATTATTTCCATATTCTAGAAATTATCGAATGATCAAAGAAAAGAATGACATTTTTGATTGACAGCCCTTCTTCAGCGCATCCAACAGCAGGTCCATGAAGCACGTTCCTTATGCCATTCAATTTCTTTCAGCCATAGAAACATGAATGTCATAAAAATTATATAGCAGAGATTATAAACATTTCATGTCAGCATTTAAATGAGCCTTTTCAAATCCTGCAGAATACTGTCATCTTTAACGACTGAGTTAGCTTATGTTCTGAAAGTCAATTGTGAATGGTTGTAACATACTATTGTTACATAATGCCACCTGCAGACACTCAGATTCAACTACGTTTTCGAAAATTGCTGACCCTGAAGCCAGTGTATCTAGAATTAGGTTTATGCATGGAAGCAGATGCGTAAGAAATATCAATTGCAATTCACTTACTTTGAGTTTTGTTCTGTGAGCTTCGAATTCTCTATCATTTTGTGATTCAGCCTGCTAACCACAGATGTAAGCTCATGTCTCAAGTTGGAAGTCTCTTTGCAGCCATTGTTCTTTAGAAGCTGATAAAGTGACAAAGGTCTCAGGAACACAATGCGGCATACAGGACGGGATGCATTTAAGATCTGATTCACTTCGCTCGAATCCTTTCCAATCACTAGATGGCCATTTACTTCCAGAAGTCTGAATAAAGATATGATATAGTTAAAACAAGTATCAATTAACCACTATTTGTCTGCCTTGTTTGTACTATTGTGTATATTAATTTTTCTGATAAAATATGTTTTGGAAGATATGCATGCTGGTTGAATGTTGACAAGCAAATACTAGAAAATGCATATTGTCAAAACTATGTTTTTCCCCAGGATATCATGTAAGATTATATTTCCAGTACAGTAGTTCATCTATATTTGCGATCCCAAGATTTACCATGACTTAAGTAAAAAATGAATATAATAGTAAATGTTATATAAAGTAGGATATTCACACATAATTAGAACAGTGAAATTTAATTGATTAATTATACAAATATTTAACCTACATTAAATAAAATAATGAAGTATGTTGTTAGCTATATTCTATACTGCACCACTAGTAATGCAAAATATATTGTAAACAAAATATTCTCTCTCTCATGAAAGTAAGAAATCCTGATACTTAATTCGAATACTTAAAAAGACAGAGCGAAGAAATGCATTTCCTGTTTTAAGCATAATGTGTTATTTAAAATAAAAGTAGAAAGAGAATCTTCCATTTTTCTTAACATTAAAAGCATATTGATAGGGATGATTTCTATGCACTTGTAGCATCACTATTTACAAATTTTGCAACCATTATTGCAGTGAGTATGTAAGAACCTTTACGAGTGTGAAAACTATGATAATACTAGAGTAAAAAGAACTCTAAAGTAGAGGTAAATTAAAGGCAAAATATACTAAAAAAGAAATTCTTCCGCTGGGAGACGTACTAGTATAGAACAAAGAGAAAGAGGAAAAACTCAACCAATTGATAGCCACAATCTTCTGTCGGCATGTTTATGGCCATCAAACTAAGTTGTGAGTCACGGTCATCATAACAGAATCATAGACCACCTTTAATAATATTCTGAGACCCTTATCCATATTAATTCTCTCAAAAACAGTAATCAACTGACCAAAATAATGGGTTTCTAAGACAGTGCTCGTACATGATGCTGGTGTGAACTAAGAAACACATGAGTTTAATTGATCTTCAGTACACACATAAGGCAATACACACACTTTTGCAGTGACGATTTCAATTTCCCTTATTTAGTTATATCAGTTCAAAGTTAACATGCAGGTCGATGATTGCCCAAACTTTCTCCATCGCTGTAAAACTTAAACACAGCAACACCATTTGCTTAAAATGTCTGCAGTTTAAGCCACATTCTAAACCTATGGCTTAAACTGTTAACAGATAGAAAATTCTTAATAAATCAAATACGTAATATGCGTTTACTATCATTTTCATTCATTGCTGATCATTCCCACATTTCATGATATAGAGCAGAATGTGTCTCGATTAATAAATGATATCCGATTAGATTAATGGCTTTCAATCTTTATCCCGCGTATCCTTTACCACATATATTTGAATGGACATTCTCTTTTTTAACATTTTTGAAGTCAAAATGTGCCTTTCTAATACTATATAGAAAGAGGGTCTCAGGCAATAAAATTGCCAGCAGTAAAAAGTTAAAAAAAATTGTAAAATTTTTTAAAACTGTTTTAACGTATTTGATGTTTTATGTTTTTCTATATTTTTCAATTTTCAACGAATATGTTTCTAGTTATTATTTATTTTTTGCCTTGCCGCGAAGTGAGAACTGAATTAATTAAATGAGAAATATAATTCGAAGAAATAAGTTTAAATGAAATGCAGCAAAAAATGCGTGTGATTTAATAAGCCGTGCAAGGAAGCCATGTGGTGCCCACATCTGTACAATAATCGTAGGTACTGGTTTTTAAAATTTATTTTTGAAATACGCAGGAAATATTCTAAAGAATAAATTACTGATTCGTTTAGCGATTAAAAAAAAGTACAGATTATTTTCATGGAATAACAGATAACATAAACTACCTCTCTACGTTGATTTCACTATTATAGACACTGTTATTATGGTGCCCCGATTCTCAGCAAGTGATTCCTTGAATCACATATTTCCAGCTGACACACGTGATAGCTATGTTTTGCCACTGTGTCAATCGAGGTCGCATTTCTCTTGTTCATACCATATTCATAATAAGAATAGATCATTGATTACCTGTCACCGATTTGCAAATCTGTGCTATGATGTGCCCACTCGACTTTCGGGATGGATGGTTTGTCACTTTGTGAAGATATCAGAATTGAATTCTCCAGTGCCAGATGCTCACTCGCATGTAAGGCTGGAACAGCACCTTTCTCCTTTATTGACATAATATACGAATGCAGAACCTCACATACTTCTTTCTGCGAAAAAAGAAATTATTGTTACTTCCTACTTATTCTGCATTTACAGTAAGCATAGATATTTCTTAGCCCAAAAAGACGGTAGCCCGAATGGGCTATTTGTCTCGAAACGGGATTTAGTAGCGTATCACTTTAAATGTTCCAATCACTTTTCAAATTGTTGCCACCAAATATTATTGTCCTGTTTTATAATTAAAGAAATTAAATAATGAAGAATCTGAATGAATGTACATATGTTTCTCGCACTGATGAAAAATGATCGTACCTATGGCCATCAAATTTTGGATAACGTAGTCCTCCACCTGAATATGTGCACCTCCAAGATGAAATTTTGAATTTTATATTTCATATTTTCTAAACATTTAATGAATTTTTAACAAACTCAACAATCTGAAAGTGATCAGTGATGACAACAATGTACGGATTAAAACATTATTACCTCCAGCGCGTGAGACTTGTATTAAAAATTCTAAAGATATGCTGTTTTTAAATATTGTTGCGTGCAGACGGGTTCATAATGGATTGAATGCACAAGTCGATAAAAATTAATAAAATTTATTCTTATCCCAAAAATAAAACAAAATACTGAAATTTCCTCAGAGATATTCGTACAATATCACAATATCTCACAGTAGTTAAATTTTAAACTACTAAAACGCTTAATATAACACAATTCAAAGCAGAGAAAGCTAATGCGATCTCACCGCGAATTCGCTACAATCAACAAAAGAACTAAGTAAACAACTGAATTGAGATGTTTTTCTTCGGCTTTTATAAGCTTTTTAATCCTGTATGAGAACATTCTGGTATTTTCTCGATTTTTTTTTTTTTTTTTTTTTTTTTTTGGATAGGAAAAGAGTACGAGATATCTATTATTAAAATATTAAATGCGCTTGGTCCTGTGTTTTAATTTTTCCGGCGTAGCTTCCCTTCATAAGTCTCGTGCTGCATTTCACAAGAATATAAACATTTTAATTAAATTATACTAAAATAGCTGAATAAATACAAATCCTTACAATACTTTTGTGATTTTTTCTGAACTAATTTGGAGGTGGCGTAAAGCGAAAAACATGATATTTAAGGATAAATTTAACACAGAACTTAATAATAAATAAAAAAAAAAAAAAAAAAAAAAATTTAGCGAGGGGATTTTCGATTCCTACATTTAGGACTTATGATCGACCCGTGTCTATAAAGTTCTTACCCACTTTATATTGCAACCATTGGACCTAGACTATATTCCAGTCTCCAAAATGTTTTAAAGACACAAATATTCTTGTTTTATTTTATATAAAGAATCAGTTTGTAAGAAAAAATTCTGAATCTTAAATTACATCCAAAGAGGCTTTTTTTAACATTTGGGGTGTACCTTTATTTATTAAATAGCATGTCTTCGCCCTATAAAATTCAGTTCAAGAGAAATATCACAGAAATAATTTTAAATTGAGCATATCTTTAGGAATTTCCGATGACATCTCACGCGCTGGAGTAAAATGTTTTTTCTGTCAACGTTCACTGCTCGCTTTGAAACCTTTGAGTTGTAATCAAAATTCGTTAAAGTTTTACAAATATGAAGCGATAATAAACAAATTCCAAATTTTTAAATTTGGGTTTCCATTTATATTCGCAGTAGGATTACGTCATTCAAACCAGATGGCTCTAGGCGGTGTTTTATCACAATGCGAGAAACATACATACATTTTATGAAAACTTCATTATTTAATTTCTTCAAATATATAGGGCGAAAATTTGTGGCGAACAGTTTGAAAAGGAAACAGACATTCAGAGTGATTCGACGCAAAATCGCAAAACGAAAACAATAGTTCCTCAGGGACAAAGCCCCTTTGGACTAAAAATTACGAAATATAATTATTTAATATGTTCCTTCCTTATCTAGGGGTACTTAGAAAGATTTTGGTACTTGTTATGAAAAATAAAGCGTTAAACGTTTTTGACTTCCGTACAATAAATATTGACCAAGATAGTCGGCTTCAAAATCGGAGATCATATTTAGGGGCCGTACAGAAATTGAAGAGCGAAATCTGTGCAGCTTTACGTAACTAAAAATAAAATACCAGGTTAAAAAAAGGTTTCTGATTGCAAGAGATAAACTGATGAATATTTCTATACAGATTACTATGAAGTATTGATTTTTTATTTTTTATTTATTTATTTATTTATTTATTTTTCAAAATAGAGATATTATCCACAGAAACTTGTAGAATTTGTGTTCTAAAAAACACTGGCAAGCTTCAGTACTGGCATGCAGTCAGCTCGTAATATTATTTGCGTTAATAAAAAATAAAAATACTTGTCGGATTGTCAGATTGTGATTTTAAAGTAATAAAACTTCATGAGAACATTAATTGTATATTTTTAGACTTTGAAAACTTATAAAATACTTGTATGAAAATTCTTTCGGCATACCAAATGTAAAAAAATTGTAAATTAAAGACACTGTGGATTACAAAACAATCATTGAATAGTATTTAAAGGAAGGACCTCGAATTATTCTAATTTGTTTATTAATCTATCCCTCAATACAAACTGAATATAATGTCAAAAATCCCAAATTTTGAAATCAAATATTTTGGACAATTTTTCTTCTGTGAAAGTAATTTTGTGTTCTTGATTTTTTATAATAAATGAAAATTTTCTTAAGTAATGGGATCTAAAACATGAATATTTGTGTCATTTAAAACATTTTTATCGTTAGAAGTATATGTATATGATCACTGTTTGCGAAAATAAAGGCTGGGTAAGAACGTTTGTCAAAAAAAAAAAAAAAAAAAGTATGATTCAGAAAGGGTTTAGGTCCGAAACAACTTACATGGGAAAAAAAAAAAATAAGTTTCTGCCTTCCAATTTTTTCTCTAAAAGACTTTCCATACTATTCTATTCAAAGTTTAAAGCAATTGTAAACTTTTAATAGAATAAAAACTGTAACTATCATTTTCTTGGCAGCATTAAAGTCACCAGATTTCAAAATTAACAGTTATTACTGAGTGCTATTAATTCTCAATTCTTTTTAAATTATCAATCAAAATTGATATTTATTAAATAGAGCACATGTTTAGACATATCCAATATTTCGAATCCTTACTTGTATGTCTGGCGTGTGGGGTGCATCCCACAATGCTGCTGACTCCCAGTGCTGCTCCTGTAATGTTAAGAGCGCCATTTCTTCTTTCGCCAGCCTATATTCCATCTCGGCCACGACAATTTGCTCATCCACAGAATTTCTATTTGCATAAAAATAATATCACTGAGTATTTTAACACAAATTATTAGAAAAGCATTCCAGTTACAGTCAACGTCCATATAATTTCAATGGAGTTTTTCTTCTCGTATGACATAATTTTACAATCGAATATGCAATTAAAATTTTTTTCAAGTAATTTCATATTCTCAATTCTTCATATTCATATCCTGAATAAGTTTATCTAATTTACTATATAATAGGAACATCTTAAATAGATCCCGAGTAATTACGTAATTCAAGTATGTATTCTCAAACGTAATTTTACTTTACGTACGACTGCACTGAGTAAAGATGTAATCCTACAGTGCTATATTTAGAGTTTAGATCCAAAATTATTTAATAGATTAGATCTAATATGTACTGATATCAATGGAGTAACGATTTATATCTTAAGCTAGTCGCTTCCATTTGCACGGAATTAATTTTATTGTAAAAAAATTAAATATGCTTTAATCCAGATCTAAACTAATAAGCTGAAAATGCAAATAAGAACTATTTGGCTCAAGTAGGAACGCCTTCAATGAAGAAAGTTAAAGAGTAATTTTGTATGCGTTTAAACTACAACTCCTCAGTATAGTTGGCTGTTTTATATATAAGGAAAATTTAAAAAAAAAAAAAAAAAAAACCCATGGATCATTTTGGGTCATGAAACGAATTTTTGTTTGGTACTACTGCATCAATTTTTTCTCTCTTAAATTGGCACAGAACTTCAGTTAATTTATTAAATTTATTATTTAATATCACTATTTTCTGGCCAAACCTATTCTTTCATTAATCTTAAGTGCCGACTTCGTTTCGAACTCGCTTGTCAGCCCTCTAGCGCGAAGAATTACGACTTTTACTAAAAAATTGCTGATTTTTTCCAATTTCAACCTGCTTTTGGCCAGATTAGCACTTTCTTAGATTTTCGCCATTTTGTTATCGTCTTCACTTTTTAAACGACTTAGTCTTGAACATTTTGTAAGAATTGCATCCGTCTTCCACCTTCGAAAACCCTTTTTTGGGCCCTGTGTTTTTTTCCCCACTGGCCGTTTCGCACCATTGTTACTGCTTTAATACGTTTGTTTCCCCCTTCCACGTCGTCTCACCTAATTGGCGCCCACCAGCGGCCGAGCGGTAAAGTCGCTGAACACTGGTAGTTCGGTCTGAGGTTCGAATCCCGCGAACGGGCTGGCTGCATGGGTGTTTTCGTGGTTTTCCCCATGTGTAACGTGTATACGAGCCAGTTTCCCTTAGAAAGTCCTCCACGAAGGCATCCCTCCTCTTAGGCAGTGTGCCCTCCCCTAGTGTTCTTTGCCGTAATTAAATACACACACACACACACCTAATTGGCGAAATTTAACTGTTTTTCTATTCCGGAAGCATTTCTTTGGAATTCATCTAATTCCGGCAACCTTTTTGAGCGACTTTTGCTCACTTTAATTTGATCAGGCCAATGCTATGGACGCAGGTATGTTGGTCTTTTTCTTCTATTTTTCTTTGCCTTTGGTCATAGCAGGACCCAATTTTAGTCGTTATTTTTATTTTTATTTTAATCTTCTTTTAACAAAGTTTTTATTCTTCGTATTAATAAGGCTTACCCTTAAAATTGTGCATTTTTTTTACTAATAGCTTTTAAGTTATTTATTTTAAATTGTACATTTGCCAACCTAGGTTACCTTGTATAGATTTTTCTTGCATCAGTATCAAGTTGAAAAAAAAATTTTTACACAATTTTTTTTTGTTCTCTTTTGTTCTTTAATTTCAATTTTAATTCAAATTGCAGGCGCGTCATGAAAAGAAGCGAAGCCATTGAGACTTAGCTATATTAAGATAATTTAATTTGGTAATTCTATTAATGAACTTCCACTTTCTGCCTCAATTGTTTTCGTTTGACGAAACGCGCCTATGGTATTAGCTAAATTCAAGTTTTCTCACAAGCGTGAGAAAACTTGAAGAGTGAGCGTGAGAAGTACGTGTGAAAGAAGAAAGAGTCCGTGTGAAAGAGTCCGTGTGAAAGAAGTCCGTGTGAGAAGTCCGTGTGAGAGCGTGAAAGTCCGTGTGAAAGCGTGAGAAGTCCGTGTGAAACCTCGAGTTGGGCTAATTTACCATTTTTTTGCAATTCTTTGTATATAATTTCTTTGAAATGTTTTTGATTGTTTGCGTACATAATTTGAAAATTTTTTAGTCTTTTCTAATCCCTTTTTGTTTATGAATTTTATATCGCTTTGTAGTACTGTAGGTTTTTTCGCGATAACTTTTACGACTTTAGTATTATATTATTGTTTATGCTTGGTGTAATGTTTTTACTCTGGAACTGCAGTATCAGATGTACTTTAAAGCATTAGCTATTTTGAACTTTCCTCTTCTGTATATAATATATACATAATTTATTTACGAAAGAAATATTAATTTTAGTAAAAGTATCTAAAAAGAGTGAACCCAGAGGTAGGAAGTTTAATTCCGAAAATGGTTTTAAAGTAACTTGAATGTAAATCATTAAAAATGTGTTACGGGGACTTGAATTAAATCATGAATAACAAAATTTCAAACCTTGAAAAAGAAATAAGCAAGTAAAATAAAAGCAAGTAATTATTGCTATTGATCGGAAATTAGTTGACTTTTCAACACACACATACATACGCGCGTACACTTATGCATGCATACATGAACACATCCATACATGCATATTACATACATATCTGAATCCGGTCCCGATAACAGAAGAGTACCATTTTTTTTTAAGAGTTATTGATATCCTATTTCTGGCTAAATGTCTCCCTTTCTGTTCATCTGATTCTTAGCTGATAAAATCGATTACAATTTGTTATCGAATTAGGATTGACTGTCGAGAATCTTTCTTTAGTCGCCTTTAATTATTGGGGTGGGGGAGACTGGGAGAAATTTAAGGCATTTGTCTCAAGTATACTTGTGATGCAATAATTAACATGTGGAGCCGATTGTTGGGAGATTCCATGTCCGAAAAATGAAATTCTTGAAAATAAAATAAAATATGTTATTTTATTTTCAACTACAAGTGTGGTCATAAAAAACTTCCCCTTTATATAAACATCTAGCGACTTATCTGCTCAAACAATATCTAAATGAAATTTCATATATGGTTATTTGAATGTATGCCCTCGAGATTGAAATGATTTAAAACAATAGAGCTCTCACGATTGAAGTTATACAATGAAAAACTTTCGAAGATTTTGATTGGCAAAATCCACTTTTTCCTGCGAAAGTTGATCAGTGAACGGAAAAACCATAAATGGCGTTGAAACACTACACGTAATGACGAAAATTGCCGGCGTAAAACATTTGCATTTTAAAGGCCCGATGACAATGGAGGAGAGAGAAAGAAAAAATAAATTCTGTTGGAATTACAAGTTTTCAATGTGTACAACATCTCAAGACAAAGTCATTTCCCGTAACTCTGCAATTTTGTGGTCACCGCGATTCGCCGACTTAATAATAATTAATTTCAAGTAACAATGTGTGAAATTTCATTTCAATTGGTTGAGCGAATAGATCGCTAAGAGTTCATGCTAAGAGCTAAACTTTTTATGACCATTCTGCAATTCTGGTTTTTAAAACTTCTTTTCTTTCCCCTAGCTTGAAAGCAAAAAGAAGAAAGATTATGCTTCACATCTAATTAAAAATAGGATGTCATCCTATGAGCACTGCAGCGGAAAGGTGCCCGCTTGTGGAGATTTCTGTCTTTGAGAACAGTGGAAGGATAGTATTTTATACTGCCAACGATTAGGTTCAAGAGATATTTCCGATTATAGAATAAACAAATACCTGAAGTTTTTTTCCTTTATACATAAATTTTTAAAAAGAAATAATTTTAGATGTACTCGGAACTTTAACTCCCATGCATTTGAAGATGTACATTGAGCTACGCTTTCGTAGATGCTCTTTGAATAAATCCTCAGCACACGAGAAATATCATGAATTGCTAACATCACTCACAGGTAAACTCTTAAAACACAATTCCAGTCTCTCTGAAGTACGCAGAAGTGAATCAGAGCTGTCCTGGCTCTCGAAGTCGTATTTACGTGGAGTTGCTTCTGGAAGTCGAGGGAAAAAAAATCACTCGTAGAGCTTAAGATATGTTTCCCCGAAACTTCCAAAATATCACCAACTTAAACAGGTAAATAAATACAATTACGCACAATATTATAACAATGCATAAAAACAAGAATGCAGTTAAATAATTTTTTTTTAAATATTTACAGAAATTTGCAACAATACTTTGTAAGAACCACTTGTCTATATTCCACGCTATCTTCCACGTAACAACTGTATGTAAGTGCGTATAGGAACTGAACAGGTGAAGGATTAAAAGTACCCTTTATTAAACTCTTTAAAATTCACAATGCGTCAATTTGACGCTAACACACTAACTCACTCGGGCGATGACTGAAACAACAAAGAACTAAACTAAGAACTCGAACTAAGAAACTCGAAGATATTAACAAGTACTAGAAATTAAGCTACAGGGCTCAGAAACTTCTTTTATTTAAAACCGCGTCGAAAACTAATGGCAACAAAGTAATAGCTGTTATGCCTCGTAACCCAACAATAAATGCAGAAATAGAAGCTCACGCTACAGAGGTGACGGCGATTGCCCAAACTCTCTCACTTCCGTTCTAGAACTCAGTATTTAAACCCTTTTCTCCTCAAGGTAGAATTTGCATTACTTCGCGCGCGCTGCGCTACCAAATTTAAATATGCTGACATTGACAATGAGAGGAATGAAGGCTTATAGGAAAGAACGTAAAATTAAATTAAATTGGTTATTTTATTACTGAATAATGGAACTATGGACGATTCGAAGAAATATGTACGATCTCTGCAATAGGAAATACACAGAAATATTTAAATCTCTAAATTTAAGTATTTACCTGTATTTAAGTATTTATTAGGTTAAGTACCTGGGAAATCATGGTTTGTAAAAATTAACTTTTTAAGCTAGCAAACGGATTAGCAGTCATAATACAGAAGACAGCTTTATAGTCATTAACTCAAACACAGCTGTAGGTAATTTAATAAATGTTAGGAACATTACTTCAGAATTGTTGCTTGAGGATTACCAGGCGAATTTTTAAAGTTTCATGAACGCTTGGATAGTCACTGGGAGATAATTTGTTTGTGAGATGGATTAAAATTTTTTTCTTTGACGGTGAAAGAGAGTAATAAAGGAGTTCTGCCTGAAGCAAATAAGTGTTTTTCATTATGAAGTTATGAAAGGAGAAAATAACACCAACTTTAGCTGTTTTATCATCCGATATTTATTCTCCGTAAAGGAATGTATAAATAAAAATTAGCCTTACCCTACTGATTTCTTCCTCTGTTCCAAATCTTTTCGGAGTTTAGCGATGAGGTCCAGTTTCTCTTCTATCATTTTAGATAATTGCGCTCTGCGCTGAGATCTGTTGACATCATCCATACTCATTTGAACAGTTGTCAGGCACCGCCGTCAAACGATGACCATCTGAAAGAGAAAGAGAAGGAATGTTATTTTACTGAAAGCCAACCCCAAGCAAAGACTCATTTAAAAATTCGATTTTATATTTTGTTTTGAAAATATGCTAAAAATAAAACAATTTTTAACGCTTTAGTTTTAGCTCCAATAACATGCAGTTCCTAACCGGTACGGTAACAATTTAAGATACGTAAAATATTTGGATAACATAATAGATAAACATGGAAATGGTACTTTATTCGCAATTACTAAATAAATGCTTCTGCAGCATCAGTGCGAACGGACTGAATTTCAACACTATATGCCAGAGAATCGGGTTGTCTTGAATATATAACAACACTGAAGGTAACTGTGTAAACGGCACGTAAATAACAGCTCTAAAAAAACCTCAGCATCGTGGCATAATCGATATGACTGCAAGGAGGCTTTATCAGTTGTCTCATTATTTTTCTTGCGAACGGAGTAGCAGAACAACAACAAAACACAGTACGTCATAAAAACTTACTTCAAGTACTGTTTTGGCACACTAAGCCTATAGAACGAGATACAGTTTTAACTACCTCAACGTCACATATAATTTATTCGTGATTAAACTGTTTGTTAAAGTTAGATATAGAAAGCGTAAACATTTTAAGAAAACTTCCCTAGCACAAATGAATTTCTACAAGTCTGTAGGTTATGTTAGGTTATTTGAATATCACAATGTTTGTTTCCAAATCATTCTTATCATTTAAATGTTATTTATATTCACGGGATAAATGCACGCTATCATTGGCAACATTGTATTTCATATTTTGTTTTGGGAAGACTGAAATGCAAATTCTAAAGTTTGTTTTGAAATACAAATGTATGAGAGGTAACGGCTATAAAGCAATTGTATGAGAAACTTCCATTAGTATGGAAGATATATTGTAATTAATTAATTAATTAATTAATATCAAACAGTGTCTTTTATTTTAACAGCGTCAGGAACATATTACCTGTCTATCTCTTGATATATGTAAGAGAAAAACCATCAGTCGTTATTTATACATAGAAAGAAAACTCCAAACGAATACCCGAAATATGTATGTACTGTTTCTAATGTTTTTAAAGTTAAATTTTTGGTAACAACGGAAAATCCGCCAACGCAGAAATCAGTTCCAAAATCTTTAAACGCATGTCTAGCAACGGTAAATAAAATAATAAACCAAGATTTAAACTTAAAAAAATGTTGAAAGAAAAATATAACGTTCACCAGCTTTTGCTGAGGCATGTGACTGAACACAAAACAATTTAAAAATCTATATGAAAGATATTTAGTAGGAGGTAAGTGAAAATACATTGTGACCCTCAAAGAAGCATGGGTTTACCTAAATGACTTCTAAAGAAAAGGTCTGTTTATTATCGTTATGATTGTAACAGGATTTTCTCATGATGGGAAATTAAAAATAAGGAGAGTAGAAAAAAAATATGAAAAATCAACTCAACGTATGCTAAAATCCTAGTATATTATACGACTTATATTTTGATTTAAAAATCCATCATTCTTCGTAACTATTCGTAACTTAAAAATAAGGGGGGGGGAAGATTTTTTGAAAAATTACTTGAATTCGATAAATTATGTTAGAAATTCTGGAAAACACAATTAGAATAATGTTTTTTCATCTTTGCGATGGTGTTAAGTATGAAATTCTTCGATGATCAAACTGTTAGATTGTTTAGAGAAGGATAAGTGAGAAATTTTTAGAACTGATTAAAAAAATGTATCCAGTTTGCAAGGAAATAAAATTTAATTTTATTGTCAGAAATGATGTGTTTATTTTCGAGAAATTCAACATGATTTTTTTCGAAGGACGTTAAGAATTATTTTAAAGAGACAAACAAAGAATTTATTAAAAACTAATGGATTTTTTTAAGAAATTTATACTGAGAAGTATTGGAATTCTCTTAATCCGAAAGATGGAAGTACTATTTGAATGAAGAAATTAAGAGGAATAGAATTTTTTTTTTTTTTTTTTTCCAGAGAAAAATATTTAACTAGCTATTAGAACTCTGAAATTTAGTCCTATATTGTACAATGATGCATATAAATCAGTTGCAAATTTTACTTTATATGTTAAACTTACCAGAAACATTTGCATTCATTTTTTTTTAATCCTTTACACTATCCCATTTAAAAAAAAAAAAAAAAATCTGATTTTATCACTACGTTTTCATTTTGCGTTGTTTTTTCCGCTACGTTTTTGCCGTATCTTTTCGGCGGACACTGGATGAGGGAAAGGACAATAGGTTGAACTCTATTTTTGTCTATTTTTTAACTCTAACTTTCTGTATTTAGAAAGTGAATTTGCAAGACTGGACTAAGTTCGCAAAAGTAATAAAATTACTTGCTACATTTAATATTTCCTTTCATATTGTTGCTTAAGAAAATATTACCAGGTTCATAAGACTGAAAAGGCACTTTTCAAAAAGCCAACATTCATTTTTTACACCATTTCTTGTTCTAGAAATTTTAAAATTCAACTATCATTAAAACAGAAAAGAATACATAGAAGTTTTACATCCCCGCACGTGAGCCTCGTAAAAAGGTGAATTCTGGTTGCCACACACATATTTGAAAAAAAAGAAAAAAAATTCCATTGGAAATTTTATTTCTGAACAGTGTCGTTAAGCTGAAGAAACAAAAATCCCTTTCAAGAAAATAAAAATACTTTTACATTCTTAAAATTCCTGACTCCTCATAAATGAACAATTGGCCTAGAAAATTAAAAATTGTCAAACAAAAAGTATGGTGAAAAGTGTACTTGTTAAAAAATAATTTTACGCTTTAGAATTTTATTTTCATTTAAGTGTTCAACATAAATATCTTGCAAATCAAAATAAGTGGAACTTCAATAAAAAAGGGAATTCTGAAATAAAACAAAAATTAATATCTAAACTTCGAAGTATTTTCATTTCCTGCTTTAAAAATGTTTCTAATGTTCTGCCTTTTGCAAAGTTGCAATTCTTTATGCAGAGATTAGGAAAACGTTCCACAGGAAATCACTGAATATCTTTCAGGTGAAAATATTTGAAGCTAAGTGATCAACCCTTAAAAATACTGCTTATGCATGCATTTTTAACTGTTACCTGTAAATTAAGAACCATTAAAATCCTATTCTTAAACAAAGTTAAGTTTAAACCAAAGAACAAAAAATGTATTTATAGGCATGTTTCGCAAAATTTAAGTAATACTCAGTTCACGATGAAAAACTTTTTTCAGGCGTATAAAAGTAAACAACTTACATATGTGAAAAATTTTTCACATCATGAACTAACAAAATGATTTAACTGTTAAAATATAATTAGATATATTTTTCCAGTACTTACAAGGTTGTTCAATAAGTTCGCGGAGCGCCATCTATTCGTCAATATTAGACCTAAAACTTCGACGCCATTTTCATGCTTGTTCTTTCTTAGGAACACGTCAAAAGTTTCATTTCGATCTGTTAATTTATTCATTGTTTAACCGCCCTTTATATCTAACGTGTTGTGCCTTTTTTCAGGTATGGATAAAATTGAGCAACGCGCAGTTATCAAATTCTTTGTAAAGAAATGTTTAAAGGCAATGAAAATTCATACCGAAATGGTGAATGTGTTGGCTGAATCTGCTCCTTCAAAAACAATGGTTTGCAAGTGGGCTAATTTATTCAAAAGTGGTCGTACCAGCCTTGAAGACGACCCGCGAGAGAGACGTCCAAAAACTGCATCAACACCGGAAATCATCGGAAAAATACAAGATATGGTATTGAAAGACCGTCGATTGACTGAAAGAGATTTAACAGAGGCTTTAGGCATTTCATTGCAAGTGAGCAATATTTTGAGTGTTAATTTGGGTTTCAAAAAACTCTGTACAAATAGGGTGCCGCATTCTCTAACGATGGAGCAAAAACACATTTCAGGATGCGACTTTACCAGCAAATATTTGGAGCGTTTTAAGAAGAATAAAAGTGACTTTATCTGTCGATTTATCACAATGGATGAGACCTTGTGTATACCATCATGATCCTGAATCAAAACAGAAGGCTAAGGAGTGGTGTGAACCCGGCTCTTCGGCGCCGAAGCGAATTCGTATGCAAAAATCAGCCAAGAAGGTGTTAGTATCAGTTTCTTGGGATGCTGAAAAGGAATTTTGTTTATAGATTACCTTCAAACTGGCAAACAATTAATTCGAATTTTATTGTAACCTTTTGAATCAAATTAGACGAAAAATTCGTAAAAGAAGACCCGGATTACAGAAGAAGAAATCATTTTCCACCAGATAACGCACCCTGCGCACACAGCTCAAAAAAACCATTGCTAAAATAACTGAATTGAAGTATGAATGTTGCAACATCAGCCTATTCGCCAGATTTAGCTCCCTCCGACTTCTGGCTCTTCCACACTCAAACAATATCTCTGTGGAAAATGATTTTCTTCAAACGAAGAGGTATAGCTGCCGTAGAAGATATTTTGCAGAGCTGCCGAAAAAACACTACAGTCAAGGGATCCATAAATTAGCAGGCCGTTGGAATAAGTGTATGAAGTTGAGGGAAACTACGTTGAAAAATACATTTTAAAAAAAAAAAAAAAAAATGTTTTCTTCATTTCCGTTCCGCAAACTTATTGAACAACCTGGTATAAAGCATTATTTAAAAAAAGCTTGAAGCTTTTTGCATCAGCAGATAATAATGATTCCTTTACCGATAAGTATATCAACGTTTTTCGGATCACGTGGAAATGTTTACTCCCTTTTTTTTTTTATTTACGATCAGCACCGTTGAATTTCAGAATACAGAGTCACAGTTACATAATTCAGGCACCTCACGCAACAGCTTAGACAAGTCTAATGCCTAAATACCTGCACCAAATTAAAAAAAGTAACACTTCAGGCATTATAAAAACGCAAAACGACGATCTATTCTTTGTCAACTAACTTATCATCATTCATTTTAATGTATCTCTTTTAACAATGCGAAATGAATGCGAAAATGTGAACAATAGTT